CAGACACGGATGGGGCAGGAACCGAGGTGCCTTAAGATCCCACAGCAGGCTTCCCTCTGGGAAGCAGACCGAGAATCGCGGTCTGTTCCCAGGCTGAGGGCCCCGACCAGGCACACGGTGTAACTCCGTCAAAGTTCACCTCAGATAAAGGAAGCGGGGAAGTGGAGCGACCACCGAGGCGTGTCAACGTGCAAAGAGGGCCAGGCGGGGAAACCGGCTGGGAGCCCGGCCAGGGCGAGCGGCGGGACGGCGCGTCTCCCGCGGGCTCGCAAGCGGCGCACCAGCACGTCTCCAACGCTCTTCCTCCCCGCGCCCCGCACCGCCGACCCCGCACCGCCCGGTTCGCGCCCGCGCGGCTCCAGGGGCGCAGGGAGGCCCCGCCGCCGCCGCCGCCGCCGCTGCAGCCCCCGCCCGCGCAGACCCCCACCCTCGGGGCGTCGAGCGCGGCGAGCAAGCCGGAGTGCGCGGGCAACCCGGCAGGTCGGGAGGGCCGGCCGCTCTGGAGAGCGGACTCGCCTGACGTACCTGCGGCCCCCTCAGGCTCGGGTCCGCTGGGCCCGGGATAACGGCGCCTCCGCTGCAAACACGCCTCGGGTCTCCATTCGGCGCTGTTTACTCCCAACTCTCGCGAAACTGCGCGATTGGGGCGGGGACACCGACGACCGTGCGTGCCCTGCGTGCGCGCGCCGGACGCCGAGGTCCCGGGGAAGAGGGTACCCTGGCAACGGAGGAAGGGTGGCGGTCTCGCGACGTTTGCGGCCGAGGGGCAGGGCCGGGGTTAGGTTGCTGGAACCTGGCCGGAGTCTGGGAGAAAAGGACTATTGGAGTGGGCGGATGGGAGATTCTCAGGAGCTCAGGGAACCTGTACGGCCCCCGGCCGGGCGCGGCCCTGCGGAGGACAGCCGTGGCGGAACAGCCACCGAACGTTCATATTCATCCAGTGCTCTCTTCCTGGGGCCTGTAGAGCCAGGTGCGACGGCACTCCCTCTGCGAACCTCCACCAGTTTAACCCTCGCTGCAGCTCGGATGCAGGCGAGTCAAGTGCTTACTCAAGGCCTGAGGGTGCGAGACCTCGGCTGACTTCCACCCTGACAGGGGAGACCCCGGCCTCAAGGCCGGTCTGCTCTACTCTTAACCCCTCCCAGCGTCGCCTGGACCACGGACGCCAAGCGGAGACCCGTTCTGAAGAAACAAAGATGTATTAAACTCTCTAAAAGTGTGCCCCCCCCCCCGCCTCAGTTGTCTGGGTGATTGAGATACTAAAATCACCCATTTAATGTCTAAATGTTGAGCTGATCGACACTAGACATTGGGCACAGCTAGGGGATGGAAGGGCTTTCCAGGTGGCGGCAGTGGTAAAGAATCTGCCTGCCAATGCAGGAGACAAAGGCTCGATCCCTGGGTCGGGAAGGAAGATCCCCTGGAAAAGGAAATGACAACCTTGCCAGGAAAATTCCATGGACAGATGAGCCTTGAAGGCTACAGTTCATGGAGTCGCAAAACAGTCAGACACGATTGAGCTGGCACGAAAGGGGGACTGAAAGCCTGTTTTAGGTCATTTGATGACAAATGACGTGCTACGTCGTGAGATAAAACTGCTTGTATCTTGTTTGACCTTTCCACAGCACCTGGATAATGCCCCAATATTAGAAACCACAGCACTGCATATTCCTTTTAACAATATTTAACCAAACTGATATAATATACTGGAGAAACATAGACTCACCTACTAGCTTTTTGTGATCTTAGGCAAGTTGTACCTCAGCTCTCTGAGGTAAAAGTAACTCACCTTTCTCACCCAAAGGAGATATGAATACCTCCCTAAGATGGTTAAATGAAGCATACACATACAGACTTTGACACAGAACACATTCAATAAATGTGGTTGTACTAGACCAACCCAAACCTGATCAAGTTCTTGCCCACCTCCTGAGATCAAATCAGTGTTAGGAACTTTCAGAGAACTCTTGACTGTTTCATTTGTAAATCCTGAGCACTCCCCCCACCCCCCACTACCACATAAGGGACTTGATCTTAAAATTAACTGTGATGTTCTAATCAGGGTTCTTTTAACAGCCCTTTAGGTCCCTATGCCATTGAATACAAAGCTCCACTGTTATTAACAGAGGTAGGTTAGTGAATCCCAAACATGCTTGTCATCTGATACTAAAGGGGAAGGGAACTTTGCAGCTCCTGAGAGCCCTACAAACTGCAGGGGGCCTGGGGCGTGACAGGAGGTGGCCTGGAAATTTACCAAGGGAGGCTGAGTGCCCCAGAATCCTGGCCTACCGGTTTTCCACCACTCCAGGTTCTGGTAACTCCCTAAACTAACACTTCATGTGTATAATAAAGCATTTGTAATCCCATGGGAAGGTAAATCTTTATTAAACCTGAGTGCTATTTTAAAAAGTAACAGTCCAGAGACAGAGACACAGAAAGACTGATTTTGGAGTGCACACAGTGGCAAGACTGGAGATGCCATTTAACCCAAATGTGCCAAGATTTTAAGTGATTGAGGTGAAAGCAAAAACAAAGCAAAAAAGACTCCTCAGAAGAGCTGTCTCTACTCATAGTCTCCCTTTTTCTTCCCACTCCTTGAACTTGCTACTTTTCATCCCCACCGCTCAATGAAAAATGGATCATGGCAAAACTACCAGTGATCTCCCTATCACCCACATCAAGGAACAAAAATCAGCCTTTATTTTATTCAACCTATCAGGAGAACGAGAGCAAAAAATCAACTCTGTAGTTTCAAGACTTATGAGACATATGACTATGCACAATTTTCTGACTGAATTACCAGCTTTTAATGAATTACTGTCACAGGTGTTCAGAGATTAATTTTTTGTAATTTTTAAATATTTGTTTCCATGGGGGGGAGGAAAATGTTTCTCTCTTTCCAAACATATGGACCAACATCTCTTCTAAAGGAAGCAGAAGCAACTGCTTTTATTGTTAAATTTTCAGGTCACAGGTTATTTCAAAGGTTTATTTCCCACATCCTTAATAAGAAACCCCAGCTACAGTGGTCTAATTATGACTCTCAAATGAGCGCTGGGAAAGATGAAACCTAAGAAAGATTCTTGGTTTTCATCTTTTGTGAACTTTGCACTGATCAGCATATTTACATATGTCCTGCCAAGAAGAAAATTTTAAAACATCACTGACACGGTTTACTTAGTCTCATCATGTAACAATGATCCAACATCTAATCTATAAATATTAGACACTGCTGTACCACACAACACCTTAAATATATATATGGTATTTTTACATCACGTTGCTACTTATTATACATCAAAGTTCAAGTCAATGTGGCATGAAGTCAAGTTTTCTCTAGTCTTAATGACCATCAATTAACTGTCAGGTGAGGAAATGCCAAATATGACAAAGGCTTCCAGCTAACGCCATCAAAATCATCACTTCCGTGTAGTATCACTGGTATGTGACTTTTCACACCTGCAATTCTTCCTCTTGTGTGATGAAGGCCTGATCTATAAACGGAAGAGCTTCTGAATTTAACCTCTGATCCCAAGTCCAAGTCAGATATGGAAATACTAAAGCAATGTCACTGGCAAAACTGTGGGCATAAAATAAAAGCTTGCTCAGGCCTCCTTGTAATGGATATCAGCTCAGGAGTTAGCGATTCCATAAAAGTCCTGATTTCAAATAACTGGTTTCTCCGTCAGCGCTGCAATATTAAACCCTGGATTTCAAATGTGCACAGACTGACATATTCATCTCATGATTTACAATTGTCAAAGCACTAGGTATGTGGTTCTCAAAAATGTTTGGCTTCCTAAGACCTGAACCAAAAAGACTACACAGTAGGTTTCAGTGCAAACCCATATAGTGGTGGTTATTGGGCATTAATTATCTTCACACCAATGAAAGTGTTCACCATAACATACAAATTTGTTACATGAACCAAGAATGAGCTTCTAACTGATTTCAACAGATACAGTATGTCTTTTCACACACATAATTTGTCCATATTTTAACTATTATTCTATAAATACTTGATATTTATATCATTAATGCTACTGGGATGGAATAATATTACACAGAAAAGTGTTTCACAGCCAGGTATAAGAAATTCTAGAGGGCTACACTTCAGTTATAAAATGGGTCATAGGCTGAGAAATCACTACTTATCCACAGTAACTATAAGTCAAGAGATGACTGAGGGTCAGTCATCACATGTCCAAAGCTGGGAATGAATTAATTCCTTAGTAGATTAAAAAAAAACAACAACAATGTTTTTAGGTGATATTATATATGGCAAACCTACAGCACAAAATTAGGTGGCCTTGTTTAGTATGAAAAAGAGTAATGTAGAATTTTAATACCCCTTTGGGTGCCACATTAAGATATCTTGACGAGGAATCTTTTTTAAAGTAACCTACCAATAAATAAAGTTGCCTGGATGTACACACATGGTTCTCTAATTATCAGTTGAAGAGCAGCATTTCATACACAGAGAGCCAAATGACTAAAGCTACACAATATAATACAGGCTTCCACTAATTATACCAGCAATCTTACCTAGAAAATAACACTTTTCAATAGTCTTTCCTGATGAACATTGAAAACCAATGCTAGAATTCATCTACTGACATAGATAACTTCCCTTAAGAAACATGTGAGACTATAAGAGCTGACAAGTCATATCATATTTCAGTATCATACTACTGTAGCTCCTAGAATAACATAAATCACACAACTTCTAAAAAGTTTAAAAAAAAAAAAAACACATCAAATTTTAGGCTTCCTCCATCAGTTCTCATGCCACAGTCGGTATTTACTCTGTGCCCTCTGTGCGGCCCTTAGGGTTTTCCCACAGCACTCTTCAAAAGGTTTATGTTTGTTTTGCAAAGGGTAAGTCAAGAGTATGCTAAATAATCGAAAAAAATGCAGAAGATAACTTCCATGTGTTCCTCCAAATGTAGAATACTGCAGGCTCCCACAAGTCGGCCAAACTTCCCAGCCGTCATCCGGCTTCAAGCTTTGCAGGATAAGGCCTCCTTACGCAAAGAACGGTTGAGAATATTTGCTCCCCACACCCAGAGCCATTCAGGCATATACTGTGCGAAAAGAAACTAAAGATGAAAGAGAAAAGGATTACAAGGTTAGAATCCAAAGCCATCGACAACAAAGCATACAGATCAGCAATGATTTAAGCCAACAAACATCACCAATCACCTTAAATACAAAAGAGGAAGAAAACCTTAGGTGATGCTGCATTGAGTAGCCACTTTTGCACAAGACCTTATGCTAGACTCTCTGGGGAACAGAAATGGGATCACCACCCACTCACCCTTTCCTCTAAGTAGGCAGGACAGACCTACATGCAGTGATAGGATTACATCTTTACTCAGTGTGATATGAATAGCAGGTCATGTAGGTAAGAATTCCAAATTATCCCAGGAATAAAAGGCAGGTCAAAGAGCAAAATGCATCCACTGTCAGTACTGTGAGAGAGAACTGGGGTTTGAGGGGCAGGGTGGAGCTTACTCTACTGACATTAAAACAGTGGATTTCCTCTTCTAGATGTCATGCAGCTGCAACTTTCAAATGCTCTTAACATAATAAATCCACAGAAGAGAATTCAGTGACTGAACTGGAACCACTAAGATTTGAGAATCAGAATTTACAATCCTCATCTTCCAGCATCAGGCTTCATCAGATTCCCATGTATTTATCGTTTGGAAAGGTTTAGGATGCCCTAACCTTAATTATGAGAGCTGAGCGCACACGGCTGGTTACCTGGATGGAATGGGACCAGTATCCTGTGGTCCTTTTTGAAATGCCGAGGGTAGAAACAGCATGATGTGCGTACACTTTTGGGGAAGGCACCAACCATGGGCACTTGTGCAGAAAGCTGCCAGGAGTGGCCACATTGGTAGCCACGTAGAATGGGATTAAACTCTGTACAAAGATTCCCTTGGAAGCATATTCATACTGCAATGCTCTGCTGAAGTGGTCTAAATATGCCTGTTAAATAAAACAGGAGGGGAAAAGACTGATTTTGTTGGGAACTCGAAAGAAATCAAGAAGAAAAAAAAAGACCTATGGTCATTTTGGGAAAAAAATACAGCATAAGCAAATATCAGCTGCTGACACAGAACTCAACAAACTAGACTAAACCATTGTGATAAACGTTTTCCTACATGATGACTTCACTTTCCACCTGGGAAAGGGTTACCTTAGATGCTGAGAATGCCGCCAGCTGGGGGGTGGGTTTGCAGCAGGAGCCGGAGGAGATGGTGACGATGGCGCCCTTCTTCCTCTCCACCATCCCTGGCAACACGATGTGGACCATGAGGCTGGCCGCGGCAATGTTCACGTTGATGATGTCCCAGAGCGTGTCCTCAGAGACCTGTGTGAAGTACTGCGGATAGGGGTAGAACACACCCACATTATTCACCAGGATGCCAATGTCTCTGTCCTGCAAGGCTTCCCGGATCACGTCGTAAATCTCGCGACCGCTGCTGAAGTCCGCGACTATGACATCAGTCTCCACTTTGTAGGTGTCAGCTATGTCTTTAGCGACCATCTGCAGCTTCTCTTGGTTCCGGCTGATGAGGACGATGTTGAGCCCACGGCTGGCAAGCTCCTCTGCATAGGCCCTTCCAATCCCATCCGTGGCACCTACAGGACAAGCCGGGAAAGGGAGCAAACTCATTTCACAGTGCAACCCTTAAAATGGACCTTAAATACCCCATGTCTGGGTTTAATCAGAGAAGGATTCAAACTAGAAATAAACTCAGTTCTGTGAGTAATCAGTCAAGCACAAGGTGGAATCCGTAATACAAATGACACGAGCTAATCAAATGCTTGCCCAGACATTCTGACAGGTAGAGGAAGCGCTGCTTTACGTCTGCCAAGGTGACTGTGAGACACAGTGGGGGACTGTTCTCAAAGCCTCATCTGGTCTCAGTGAGTGTCAGAAGGTACTTTCCTATGAAACAATGGTAAATGAAAACAAAATTTAAAAGAAGGGAAGCATTTCTGAAAGTGGTACCAGTTTGTAAGGACACTTTCAAAACAGAGAGCAAGAAGGAAAAGCAAACAGCAGGAAAGCGGGGCTGGATGGGGAACAGGAGGTGACAGAAGAAGGACAAAAATCACAGGGAACCACCTTCCAAGATGAGTGGTGAAAAATGTGCACAAAATCATAACAGAGGAAGTTTTATTTCTTTATCCCATGAAAACATGATTAAATTCAGTAAGTCCCTGAATGAAGCATCCAACTTATAACACAGATCAAATGGGAAAGATGACTTCATTTTTAAATCAGGCAAGAACGGAAATCTCATCTCTTACCACTCACGACCGCCCATCTTCCATACTGCTTGATCAGGTCCGCTCTGCTCACCAGGCGCGGGATGAAATGCAGCCTGATGAGGCTGTAGAAGTCACAGACGACGGTGATGCTTTTTCTGGCTGTGTACCAGGCTCCAACCAAGGCGAGGGCTTCCATGTAGCAGTTGCAAGACCTCGCGATTTCCCTGTACAAGAGGTAGAAGCTGTCGACGGCAGCCATGGCAGCCTGCAGGGGCGGGGAGTGAGAGAGGTGGTCTTTGCTTAGTAACTGAAAGGAACACACACAGTTTGGGTGAAGAAGGACGTTTGAGGCATCAGGGCTTAACAATTTTGCATTCAAATAACAGTAACTGTTTAAATGCACGCAGCCTGTGGATCCAGTCAATTTATGATATCATTACTTGACATCTGCAGCTTACAAAGTTCTTTCCATCCAAGAAGATTAGTCAACATGATTATCAGGAGTTGCCAAATTCCTACTAAAATCCAGGCACTGAGCTAAATGTTATGGATATGACAATAAACACAATATGCTCTGTGCCCTAAGGAGTTCCCAGCCCAGCTTAGTGACAGGCACAGACTTTTTAATTCACGTAAGAGCTGAGAGTAATGTTTATTTCTTTTATTGAATTTATTTATGCAAAACTGGCAAGCACAGAGGACCTACTATCCCTGTAGAGACAAAGTATGAAAAATAGAGGCACTATTAAGACATAGCCTTGGCCCGAAAGGGGGCTTCCTGATCCCTCAGACAGTATAGAAACTGCCTGCAATGCAGGAGACCAGGTTTCAATCCTTGGGTCAGAAAGATCCCCTGGAGAAAAGAATGGCTACCCACTCCAGTGTGCTTGCCTGGAAAATCCTATGGATAGAGGAACCTAGTGGGCTACAGTCCACAGGGTCTCAAAGAGTCAGACAGGACTGAGTGACTAACACTTCAGCCTCAAAGACCTTACAACTCACTCTGAGACAAAACTATGCTCTAATACTCTAACATAAACTGCATTATGTATAAATAATATTCATAAATGTACATTTTAAAAAGAGATACTCCCCAAACTTGAAGACATGGTTTTCAGAAATGACAGTGGCTAAGCACACTTCATCTGGCTGGCATCACTGGCATACGGTCATCCTTGCCTGGCCCCTTGTGTTTGGGGAAACAAAAGCCCAATATGACTCTTTAAGTATCCACACAGCAAGCATCTTTACGTGCCATGTACTGGGATGGACACTAAGGTTTCAGAGATGAAGCAAACGACTGCCTAGGAGGAAAGACTGACATCTAACAAAACAACTTAAAATTCCATATGAACTGGTGTGTATGTGTGTGCACCTGCAATCAGAGAGGCACAGAAAGGCTGGGCATGACCAAGGCTGATAAACTTCCTTCTAGACTAGACCAGGGGAGTCACCAAGGAAGGCCTGAGCCAATCACGTGCTCTCAGTGAGGGTCAGGTATCAAAAAGATCAGAACCGACCACAATTAAACTACAGGGAGCTCAGATATGCACAAGCACAAGGGTATATAGCATTTATTAATATTATGTAAGAGAAAATAGATTTAAGCCAAAAACAAAATTTACATAAACTTTCTGGAAGTGGCCCCTCTCATAGAAATCTGTATAGAAAAAAACTAAGATTTTTTTCTGAAACTAAGAAAAAAATTCCTGACAGTACCAGCAAAAATTGGCATAAGCTTAAGGAAGAATAATTCCCTCCCACTCCACCACAATGCAATTTGAGCTCAACCAAGGTCTGCAGAGTGAAGAAAACAAATTAACCTCTGGAATGGGACACGCTGTAAGAATGACACCACACTGGTAACAGGCGCATAAAACAACAAAAAACTACTGAATGTAAATAATATGCGTGTGTGTGTGTGTGTGTGTGTGTGTGTGTGTGTTGAGTACGCATATGAGTGTGTAGGCCAAATTACAAACCTATAAAACGTACAAAAGAAATATGATAGAAAACTGAAGAAACAGGCAGTAGGATTCCTAAATGCCCCACAATGTGCATATAACCCTTCAAACATTAAACTTTACAATCCCGTCCTGTGCTGTGCTTAGTCGCTCAGTTGTATCCGACACCTTGTGACCCCATGGACTGCAGCCCACCAGGCTCCTCTGTCCATGCGGTTTCCCAGGCAAGAATACTGGAGTCGGTTGTCATTTTCTCTTCCAGGGGATCTTCCCGACCCAGGGATCGAACCCACTGCTACCACACTGGCAGGCAGATTCTTTACCACTGAGCCACCAGGGAAGCCCTCGGGGTCACAGTCCTCCACCTCAAAGGCATCCCCTCTTTGTATGCTATGCCTCTCAACGCTTCCAGATGCTCGTGATGAGGCAGTGACGGGTCCCCCCCACACCGTGGCAGAACAGAGCCACATCCTGGGGGGCAGGTGCTGGGTGGAAAGGCCCCTCCCAGTCACACTGGCTGCTTCCCGGGACAGAGCTGATTCAAGATTCCCAGAGAAGCGACGAAAAACACTAGCTCCTTACAAAGAAGAACATAAAAACTGAAAATCCGAGTCCAACCGTCCTAAGCTGGGAGTTCCCGAAATAACGCTTTTATAGTGGACACGTGCCATCTGTCACACTTACTCAAAGAGTAGGCCATGAGGAAAGTAAATGCAAAACATGATACTTGCATGCACCAGTACTTTTTTGAACAAAATGTAATAACACAACCATAAGCAAAACAACAACAACTAGATTCTTGGAACATTAAATCTAGTCTTCAAAATAATAGGTGGGTATACGTCTAAGATGTTACACAATGTTTTCAGTAAAACACTGGACGCCACATATCAAGGTCTAATAGATTGGAGCCAAAGAAATACTTGTGGGGAAAAATGCATGGCAGGCGTGTCTGTAATAAGGTTCCAGCTAAAAGGTCACATGTGCCTTGGGGAATGACCTCACCTCAAGGGGAAGCTGTGTAAAGGGAACTTCGACCCCTCCTTGAACACCATTTTTCTCAAGAATGTGAGATGGAAAAACTCCAAAAAAGATGCCTGACTACGACCGAGTCCTCAGTCGTTCTGCCCAAGTCATTCTCCGCCTGCAGTCTCCTCTTACCTCGTCTGCCAGCTCTGGGCCTCCAGGAGCTGCTCTGTCTTCTTTTCAGGACAAGCTGCAAGCAAAAACAAACAACAAATGCCTTTCCCTCACAGCTCAGCTGGGAAAACTTTACAGAAAACTCAGACCAAAGGTTTTTAAAAGTTAAAAGAAAGTAAAAATGCATGTGCCATGAATCCAAACAATACTTTGGCCACCTGAGGCAAAGAGCGAACTCACTGGAAAAGACCCTGACACTGGGAAAGACTGAGGGCAGGAGGAGAAGGGGACGACAGAGGACGAGATGCTTGGATGGCATCACCGACTCAATGGGCATGAGAATGAGCAAACTCCAGGAGATGGTGAAGGACAGGGAAGCCTGGTGTGCTGCAGTCCATGGGGTTGCAGAGTCGCACACGACTGAGCGACTAAACAATTTAAGAAAACTGGAAAAATGTACACCAAAGTTGTCTATTATGCACAGCTCAAAGAATAAAAAACACTCATGGGGCCCCAGGACTCCACAAATCAAATAGAGTCTTAGAAGGCCCAACGCCTCCTCCCTGGTCACATCCCCTTCCACCACACTTGGGGTAATCACTCTCCTAAGTTCTGATGTAATCATTCCCTTGCTCTCTTCTTTCTTTAGTAAATAGTTGTGTACCACCCTACCAGAGATTCTGAAATAACAGTACTCCGTTTTGCCCCTTACAGAAGGAATCGAGCCCATGTACCCTTCAGGGACTTGTTCCTCTCACTCAGGGCTGTTTCCCAGACCCAGGCACACCTCCGCAGCTGCAGGCCATAAACTCTCACTGCGGCATCATCTCATGGCACAGACACAATCCGTATGTCCAGTCTACTGCTGATGGGTTGGTCCTGTTGGTTTTGACTTTACAACTACGAACAGCTCTGCCGTCAACGCTCTCATGCATGCACAAGAGTTTCTCAAAGGGACAGGCCTAAGAGTCGAACGGCTGGGCCACAGGGCATACATGTGTTCAACCAGATACTGCCAAAGCGACTGAGCCACTTTACACGCCCACCAGCAGCAGAGTGTGAGCTCATGCTGCCTCCTCTCAATGGCTGGCAACATCCAACAGTTCGCCTCCCGCCAAAGGCTGGCTGTGAAATGGGATCTCGCCATCGTCTGCACTGGCATTTCCTGACTGTTAATAAGGCTGGCACTCCCTCCTGACGTTTATGTGCTGTTTCTGTTTTCTCATCTATGAAATGCCTGTTTCTAGCTTTTGATCTTACTTCTTTTCAAATCAACTTTTTAAAAAATTTAATTTTTAAAAATTGTATTTATTTATTTTGGCTGAACCACACAGCATGCTGGATCAAACCCAAGCCCCCTGCACTGGACATGCAGAGTCTTAACCACTGCACCACCAGGGAAGTCCCCTTGTGACCTTCTTTCTATTGTGTTGTCTTTTTTTTCTTTCAGAATTCTAAGTATTCTCTCTACATTCTAGATACTAGTCCTCTGTACGCTTTGTCTCTTTATATAAGTGCTTTTGATGAAATGAATGTCTTAGTATCAACATCAACAAAGTCCAATTTATCAATCTTTTTCCTGCATGGGTTATGCTTGTTACGTCTCATTTCAGAAATCCCATCTTAACCCCAGGTCAGAAAGATATTTTTCCATATTATTTTCCAAACTTTTTCTTTTCTTTTTTTTTTTTAACAATTCTGCTTTTCAGATTCAAGTCTTTAATCCACCTGTGGCCTTGTGATGGTGTGAAGCTGCGGTCGCATCCATCTCTACTGTTCCTCCCCAGACCCTAGCATGGTGCTAGGTATACAGTATTTATTTAACAAATAGAAGCAAATAATGCCTTGTGTTCAAAGCTCAAATTTCACTCGGGTAGAAATAACTTGGGAAGCTTCTCCAACTTTGCATCAGCACTTTGATGAAGCTGTTATTGGTGTATCATGACTTTTTGGAGTTTCCTTACCCCACTGTGCCAAGTTTCAGTATACTGCTAACATAAACTACATGGAGAGAGTCAAAACATGGGAGTTCTTGTCCAAGATCCAATACCCCTCAGTTTCAGGTCTCCACTTCTGCAGTGGGAATTAAAACTATAACAGCATCCACTCCTGGGTACAGACCCAAGATAACTGAAGACTTAGGCTCACACAAAAACCAGTATGGCTGTGCTCATTAATCACTAGCTAAAAAGTGGAAATAACCCAAATGTCCAACAACAGATGAATGGACAAACAAAATGTGGTCTCTCCACATGATGAATATTAATTCAGCAATGAAAAGAACAAAGTATGGATACATGTTATGATATGGACAAATCTCGAGAACAGTATGCTAAGCCAAAGAAGCCAGACACAAAAGGCCACTCGTTATATGACTCCATGTATGGGAAATGTCCAGAAAAGGCAAATCCAGAGACAGAAAGGAGACGAGGGCTGCCACAAGGCAGGAGGAGTGGGAAATAGGGAGTGACTGCCAATGGGGTGGGATTTCTTTGGGGAATGATGGGAATGTTTTGGAATTAAACTGTAGTGATGGTTGTGGACAGTTAACATGCTACTATAAACAGCACACGCTTAAATGGCTAAAATGGTGAATTTTGTTATGTGACTTTTATTTCAAAAAAAAATCTGCTTAAAAAAAACAATTTGTTGAGCTCTATCTATGTCTGTGGAATATTACTGTAGTGATCACAACCACAGACTCTGAAAACAGACATCCTGGGTGTGAACCCAGGCTCCCCATGTAAGAGCTGTGTGTCTTGGGTGAAGTTACTTAATTACTTCACAGAGCTTTCCCTATATTACCTGCAAATATGGGGCTAATATTTCCTGCCTAAGATTATAATGAAAATTAAATCAGATCATACGTATGAAGCACTCAGTCTGGGACTATCAGCCCTCAATAAATCTTGGCTATCAGCCACTATAATTTAATGTTCAATAATGTTAGTTATTGTCTATTTGCAGCGCTCAGGGTTAAAATCTGGCTTTCTGCAAAAAACTCCGCTAAGTGCTTTCTTCCTATCATGGCACTTCTCTCATCAACCCTTCCAAGCAGAGTTGTAATCATGCCCAGTTTACAGACATGGAAACTGAGGCTTACCGAGGTAAAGTGGCACAGCCAGGACTCTGCAGCTAAGAAGTGGGCGGTGGGAATTCAGATCAAGGTCTGTGAAAGTCCAGAGGCCTGCCTGGTGACCCCCACTCTGAGACCCCCAGGCGGGCATCCTGCTGACATCACCAAGCGGGCCGCTGGGTTGGGCTTCGCCGGACTGCACGTTCCTTCGGAACAGCGACAGACTCCCTGGTCCCCAGAAACCTTCCCCTCCAGCACCCGGCAGGGCCCAACAAACCACCGCCGCTGGAGAGCTGGTGGGGCCCTTTTTCCAAGAGCGCCCTTATTCTGAATTACTTCTCATTCAGAACAAAGACGAAGACAACAAACCGCACTCAGACCGAGTCCCTTTGGAAACGAGAATGAAGAAGCACAAACCGGTGCCTTTCAGAGCCTCGTGGGGAGCACCCGGGTCAGGTCCGGGAAAGAGATGGGCCCGCGCTCGGGGTGGGTGGGGCACCAGGTCCGCCGGGTCCCGGGGGAGGGGCGGGCCCAGAAGACGGGCTCCTCATGGGGTGCAACGCCCGGATGGAGTTGGGGAAGAGGCGCTCAGGGTGGACAGGCCAGAAAGGAGGGGTGCTGGGGGCGGGGGTCCCAGGGAAGGGAGGAACGACAGGGTCCGGGGGTACCGGGGGTCTCGGCGAGGAGGGCACTGGTCCCGGGGGGCGTGGTGGGACGCAGACCGAGCAGAGGGCCGAGGCCCCGCCGAGCGCCAGGAGAGCCTAGAAGGCTCTGGGACCCGGGGGTGCGCGCGGGGGGGGCGGTACCTGCAGAGACAGCGCGGCCTCGAAGCTGGACCCGCCAAAGACGCGCGGCCGCCGCCCCCGTCACCGCCGCCGCCGCCGCCGCCGCAGTTCCCCGGGCCGCGCCCCCACGTGACCCGCGTACGCGCTGGAGGCGTGGCCGTTGCTGGACCCACCCGCGGCGTTCCGACGCTCAGGCCCGCCCGAGTGCGCGTGTGCAGCGGTTGCCCTGGAGACCAGGGAAGCGTTGGGTCGCCAACGACGCGGGCTCCGGTGGCCTGGTGGGCTAGGGTCCATAGCTATCCCGCAGAACCGGGCTCCCACTACTACGGGGTGTTCGGTATTTCCGAAATAAACATGCACCCCGAGGCCTCAGAGCCTGTGGTGGACGGGGTAGCGGAGCAGGAGTGCGCGCAGGAGCCTGGTGTGGAGGAGTCGGCTGGTGACCACGGGAACGCAGGAGAAGGTGGCCGCAAGGAAGGTGCCGACCACCGCCCCAGGGAGGCGAGGGGGGCGACGGGCTGTGCCCAGCACCACAGACCTGGTCTTCGCAGCCAGCAGTAACCGTAATAATAATAACAGGGTCTTCCCTGGCGGTCCAGTGGTTAAGACTCCAAGCTTCCACTGCTGGTGGCATGGGTTTCCATCCCTGGTCGGGGAACTAAGATCCCGCATGCCACAAGACGCGGCCCAAAAAATAATAACAGCAGCGGCCCACACTTACTGAAGGTTGTGTACCATGCACTCATCACATTACAACCATAGGCCAGCCCTCTGCGGTAGGCACTCCTCTTGCCAGGTCAGACAGTTAATTTACCTGGAACTTAAAGAAGTTAAAGAACTTGCTCCAAACAGATTACCCTCAGCCAGTCAATGATAGAACAGACTCGTGCTTGGACAGTTTGACGCCAAGAGCCCAAGCCCTCACCCAAGACACCATTCCCCTCACAGCCCAACTTTTGAATGTATCCCTTCATTGCTTTCACCATGTAAGATCAAAGGCTCTCTCTCCCTCTGGATTGCAAGCTATGTCAGGGCAGACACCCCAAGTGAACTGGCAGTGTCCAGTTCAGTGCCTGATCTGTGGTGGACAGAGTGAATGACGAGCTGGTGTTTCTGGGATCACCTGGTGACTCCTCACCAAAGTTTTCCTGAATAGGATTAGAAGATAGCCTCTCCTGTTGCTTGGCTTCAATCATAAGGGAAACCTTTTAGGGAATGATAAACTGCTTGATTTGTTTCATTTTTTTTTAACCCAGCCAACAATTGTAATCAATGACTGTCCAGGCAAGCCCTGTATGAGTTGCTATAGGGAAGCCATGTTGTGCTATGGACACACATAAGTTTGGAGCAAGTTACTCTGGGTTCACACTACTACTCTGCAACTTGCCAGTTTTATGGTGGTTTGCCCAGAGCTTAACCTCTCTCTAGGGCAGTCTCATCTTCCGCAAGCCGGGATAGTTATAATTAGAGTGACTTGCATACAGTGGGTCAGTAATGGTAGTTTTGGTATTAATATAACCAATCAATTATTATATATATTGAGCACCTATTCTTTATTGGGCTTCCCTTGTAGCTCAACTGGTAAAGAATCCACCTGCAATGCGGGAGACCTGGGTTCGATCCCTGGGTTGGGAAGATCCCCTGGAGAAGAGAAAGGCTACCCACTCCAGTATTCTGGCCTGGATAATTCCATGGACTGTATAGTGCATGGGGTCGCAAAGAGTCAGACACGAATGAGTGACTTTCACACTCATACACATTCTTTATTACCCCAAACTATCATCTAGTGCCTCTTGCAGCTGGGCATTGTATGCAGTGGGGAATGGGAAACTGTAAGACACAGTCCCACACACACAATGTTTAACCTCTAGGTAGTCCACAGGGACACCCAGAGAGCAGCAACAAACAGCCCTTAAGATTAAATGCATTGGGGGACTTCCCTGGTGGTCCACTGGCTAAGACTCCACACTCCCAATACAGGGGACCCGGGTTCAACCCCTGGTCAGAAAACTAGATCTCACAATACCACAGCTAAAGATCCCACCTGCCACAATGAAGATTGAAGATCTCACATGCCACAACTAAGATCCAGCGCAAATAAATATTTCTAAAGATAAAGAAAACATTTCAGATATATTTGATGTTTTTTGCCTTCAGTTCAGTTCAGTTCAGTTCAGTCGCTCAGTCGTGTCCGACTCTTTGTGACCCCATGAACCGCAGCATGCCAGGCCTCCTGTCCATCACCAACTCCCAGAGTCTACCCAAACCCATGTCCATCGAGTGGGTGATGCCATCCAGCCATCTCATCCTCTGTTATCCCCTTCTCCTCCTGCCCCCAGTCCTTCCCAGCATTAGAGTCTTTTCCAATGAGTCAACTCTTCGCATGAGGTGGCCAAAGTATTGGAGTTTCAGCTTCAACATCAGTCCTTCCAATGAACACCCAGGACTGATCTCCTTTAGGATGGACTGGCTGGATCTTCTTGCAGTCCAAGGGACTCTCAAGGGTCTTTTCCAACACCACAGTCCCATTCCATTTTCCTCTCTAGAATTTTGTGTGGATTCTTTCAGTCATGTCTGTCTCTCTCTTTCCCTATCTGCGCATTCTATTGCAAGGCAGAATAATGACTCGTTGCTTTATTTAACCTGTCCCTGTGAATGGACATTTGCATTGTTAGGTGGTTTTGGCTATTACAAATAATGCAGAAGTGGGTATGTTTGCACACATCCGCTTGTCCATCTGTACAAGAGGTGTTATCAACGATCTGCCTAGAAGTGAAATTCTCATAATCCTTATCAATGCTTTCAAAATTGTGATACATTTAAAGAGTACTGATTCTACACCAAAAGCAGACAATTATTCATCAAGTTGAAGTGGAGGGAAATTTTTTTATACTCTTCTTGCTCTCTATAGAACCAGTCTCTTATTTTACAGAAATGAATGATCCTAAGGAAACGTGTGTGGGTCCTTCGAACACTTCTTATCTCAGTGAGCAGAAACAGAGTGGTGACAGCTGGTCAGATGGTCGCTTAGCACACCAAACAGACGACAAGGAAGATGGTGGCACCAGGTATGTGGGCGCGCTGCCACCGCTCAGAGCACACTTTTACACATTAAGGTGGACGTTATGATCACCCCTTTGTCCAGATAAAGAAATTGGGGCTCATGAAGATTAACGAGACAGCCCCTTGTCTGAGAATTAGTAGCAGAGTCAGGATGGTTAGTTAGTTATGCCTCTGTGGCATAACTAACTGCAATCTATTAAATTTTAATGCCAAACCTGGAGAGAGGCACGCATTAGGACTTCTTGATGACACAAAGGTATGAGAACATACGCTGCAGTTTTTAAGAATGCTGAAAGTCACAATATTGGATGAGGCCCTGAAAGCTATAAACAAGCAAGCAGTGTCATCAGGCATACAGAAGGTTGTGGAATTTGGAGACGGAATGGATGCGAAGAATTTATGGGATAGATCTTAGAGCTGACAAACCGAAATCAATTTCTCGTTCATGTTTTTCATTCAACAGAATGACTAAAAAGTTTCTGCAAAAGCTTTGCAAGCAGCACAAGCTTTACATTACCCCAGCACTGAATGATATGCTGTATTTACACTATAAAGGTAAGGATTGGGTGGAGGAGGTACCTCAAGTCAGATGGAAAGACCCTAGTGGTATAAAAAATTTCTCACAGGGATCATCTAGAGTTCTTACATTTAAGTAGAAATTTCAAGGTTTAGTGGAGATGCATGGGAAAGCAATAACATTTCTTGGAAGAAAGAGTCTTACGTGACCAGAATTTATATGAGTTCCAGGGAAACATACTGGCATCTTTTATTTGTATTTGCCCTTTAGCAAATACAAATATTCATAGTTTCCCAGACCACTAACTACTTCTAAATATTCTGCACTTGGGAGGGACACATTGTGAAGGACTGTGGTGGTGTCCAATGGTCACATGTCAACTTAAGTTCAGGTTCATAAACAGGGCTTTTCCTCACAGTGTCAAAGCAGAGCAATAACTCCCAGTTGATGCTGAATTTGGGATGGCTAACCTTCATTGGGCCATCCACATGGCCCTTTATTCAGTAAATGTTTACTGAGAGCGTTCTGTGGGCCGGCACAGGGCACAGTGCTAGAGATACAAAGATGGATATGCTGAGGATGCTCTTGGTGTCTTGGGGGACAGGTCGGCCACCATGAGATGGTTCACACTGTGCCAGGGAGATTCACAGAGGGCTCCAGCCGCACATATCCTTTAAAGGTGGGGAAGGACCCCCAGCTGGTCTCCTCACGTCCACATTGCCCCCTCCAAAACCCTCCACTCGGTATCTAGGTGTGGCAGTGATGAGATGACATAGGAGGGCAGACCCCAGGGGCCCGTATTTAAGAGGTGGGAAGAAGAGGGAAGAGAGGTGCCTATATTATCTACTGCTGCCTAGCAAATTAACCCCACGCCTCTCAACTTAAGAAATTACTATTTGATACTATTTCTGAGGGTCAGGAACCTGGGAATGATTTAGTCGGGTGGTTCTACCTCACCGTTGTTTTCAACCTTTTTTCATCAAAACTTTTTTGGTTTGAAACTTCCCTGGTGGTCCCAGTGACTAAGATTCTGCACTCCCAGCACCGGGTGCCCGGGTTCGATCCCTGGTCAGGGAACTAGATCCCACATGCCACAACTAAGAGTTCACATGCCACAGCTGGGACCCAGCACAGCCAAATAAAATATTTTTTTAAAAAAACACAAACTTCTGGTTAAAACTTTCAGGCAACCAAATGACTTTCAAAACATTTGGCAACAGGAGATGAACCATGAAGTACAAATCTATAATGAGTTACTCAAGGAAACAAAAATGTTGGTTTTCCTCTCCTTAAACGTGGCTCATAGAACTGAACCATACCAGAAAGCCAGAACCAAGGTTTGCACTGGCTTCAGGTACTGCTGGATTTTCTCACCTCATTCTTCACGAGGCTGCCTCTGCCCCTTCTGAAGCCCTGCGTTCCCTTGTGCTCATTCATTTCAGGCAGGGCACCTGCCTCACTCCCACCCACTCCCAGGCGAGAAGGGAAGTGAGGTCCCACCCTACCAGGCTGGCAGTTCTCACAGAGAGTTACCTCCTTCCAGTGGAGCCAGCCAGAGCTCCCCAGGGTTCCTGCATGTTGCCCCACGTGGTTCAGCACGACCAGCCCCCTGCAGAGAGCCAGGGGGAAAGGATCAGGACAGGGTGTTGTCAAAGAGGTGGTGGTTTGCCTGAGGAGGGACGTGTGGATGCTGGACGTGTGTGCCTGCGTGCTGAGTCACCTCAGTCGTGTCTGACTCTTTGTGACCCCATGGACCCTAGCCCACCAGGCTTCTCTGTGCATTGGATTCTCCAGGCAAGAATACTGGAGTGGGTTGCCATTTCCTTCTCCAAGGCGGATAGGCATGAAAGACGGTAAAACCGGTGCCTCTGTGTGTGTGGAAGCCCAGCCAATACTTCCCTCCTCCCCACCAGGCTTTGACCGCATCGAGAACCTGGAAGAGTACACGGGGCTGCGCTGTCTCTGGCTGGAGTGCAACGGCATCCAGAAAATTGAGAACCTCGAGGCCCAGACGGAACTGCGCTGCCTCTTCTTACAAGTGAACTTGCTCCATAAGATCGAGAACCTAGAACCTTTGCAGAAACTGGATGCTCTCAACATCAGCAACAACTACATCAAGACCATCGAAAACCTCTGTAAGAAGGACCCGCCGTGGTGGTAGTGGTGGGGGTCGGGGAGGTCGTTCTCCAGACCCATGGCCACCGCCGGCCCCTGCAGGAGGGTCTTAACATTTTCTTTGCTGCCCATGTCGCTCACCTCTGTCCCCTCCCCCTTCCAGCCTGCCTGCCGGTCCTGAACACACTCCAGATAGCGCACAACCACTTAGAGACCGTGGAGGACATTCAGCATCTCAGGGAGTGTGCCAGACTCTGTGTCCTTGACCTTTCCCACAACAAGCTGAGCGACCCCGGGATCCTGAGTGTTCTCGAGAGCATGCCTGACTTGGTAAACAAACAGAAAGAAAGAAACCCGCACACCCGAGACTTCCCTGATGGTCCAGTGGTTATGACTCAGAGCTTCCAGGGCAGGGGACATGGGTTCAGTCCCTGGTCAGGGCAGATCCTGCATGCCGTATGGTGCGGAGTGGAGGGTGGGGGACACACGCACAGACACAGCTTGTGTCACCTTGGGTTCTGTAGACAGCAAATCTCTTTTCTTCTCCCCTCTCTCCCTCCCTCCCGCTTCCCTTCTCCCCACCTTCTGAACACCCATCACACTTTTCCCCTCTATTTTTAGCTGCCATGTTTTAAATGCCAGATGTGTCGTTTCACCTACAGTTTCAGTGTGTATTCCTGACAGATAGGACTTTTTAAAAGCATCATTACAGTACTATTATTATACCTAAAATAGTATTGGAATGACAGTTAATACCCAGTCTATGTTCGGTTTTCCCCATTTGCCTCAAGCATGTGTTTTGACCGCTGGATTCAGTTCAGTTCAGATGAGTCGCTCAGTCATGTCCAACTCTTTGCAACCCCACAGACCACAGCACACCAGGCTTCCCTGTCCATCACCAACTCCCAGAGTTTACTCAAACTCATGTCCATTGAGTCGATGTTGTCATCCAACCATCTCATCCTCTGTCGTCCCCTTCTCCTCCTGCCTTCAATCTTTCCCAGCATCAGGGTCTTTTCCAATGAGTCAGCTCTTCGTATCAGGTGGTCAAAGTATTGGAGTTTCAGCTTCAGCATCAGTCCTTCCAATGAATACTCAGGATTGATCTCCTTTAGGATGAACTGGTTGGATCTCCTTGCAGTCCAAGGGAATCTCAAAAGTCTTCTCCAACACCACAGTTCAAAAGCATCAATTCTTCGGCACTCAGACTTCTTTATAATCCAGCACTCACATCCATACATGACTACTGGAAAAACCATAGCCTTGACTAGACGGATCTTTGTTGGCAAAGTAATGTCTCTGCTTTTTAATATGCTGTCTAGGTTGGTCATAACTTTCTTTTCAAGGAGTAAGCATCTTTTAATTTCATGGCTGCAGTCACCATCTGCAGTGATTTTGGAGCCCCCAAAATAAAGTCAGCCACTATTTCCACTGTTTATCCATCTATTTGCCGTGAAGTGATGGGACTGGATGCCATGATCTTAGTTTTCTGAATGTTGAGCTTTAAGATCATCGGATGGTGCCAATCCAAACCAGACCCACACATCATATTTGGATTAAGCACCTCATCACCGCCCTCCCCACTTGTCTCTTTCTCTCCCCTCCCCCACCCCCCCGCCCTGAACCATCTGAAGAAACCCGGTCTTTCTGGTTGTCAGCCACACCCTGGATTCAGTCAACTGCATTCTCATGGTGTGGTCTGATGTGTTCTGCTGTCTCCAGTATCTCCTGTAAAATGATGATGGAGCCAGAGGCCTGGTCAGATCCAGGCTCAGAATATAACCCTGAGGTCAGCTGTGGCATCAGTCAGGGCACGTGTAATGCCTGGTTGCCTCTTGTTGTGACTTTAAGCGTCACTAGTGGGTTTGGCTGCTGTCTGTCTTTTTCAGCTTCAGTCTGATCCAGCACTCAGCCTCCCTTCCCCCGACTGTTCCGACAGCTCCCAGGCACGCTGCCTTCCTGTATGAGTTCATTAGCAGTCGCTCAGGGATCATATTCTAATTCCCTTACTCCTTCTGCCTTTCTTAGCGGCGATGCTTCCGCAAAGAGCACTTTTGCTCATCAACAATTTACATCCCTAATGTAAAGTGCATGCAGAAAACACTGGGATGAACGCTTCTTTGTTTTTCTTTTTATGTTATCAGTTTTCAGAGAAATGAATCCAGACCCTAGTGACCTCTAAAGATGAAAGTGAAGGGTTTTTCTTTATCACCGTGGACAGATAGATTTAAAGATACAGTATTTGGAGTGACTTAACCTGTCATTTTAATTTGGGGTGCTTGAATGTTCCCATCTTCTACCGTGGCAACCCCTGCAGGCAGCTCCTGTATCCTCTGGCCTCAACTCCAGCAGCCTGGGACAACTTCCTTGCTTTTCAGTGTATATGTCTTGTCACGTGTACTAGGAAAAAAGATTTTCCAAATAGCATACGAAAACCCTCAGTTCACTGTTTCCTGCTTAGGGCATGGGTAAGCAAGGGAAAAGTGAATCCATTTAAAAGAAAACATTAAGGAAAGCATCAGTTCAGTTCAGTTCAGTGGCTCAGTCACATCTGATTCTTCGTGACCCCATGGAATGCAACACGCCAGGCCTCCCTGTCCATCACCAACTCCCGGAGTTTACTCAAACTTATATCCATTGAGTCAGTGATGCCATCCCACCATCTCATCCTCTGTTGTCCCCTTCTTCTCCCACGTTCAATCTTTCCCAGTATCAGGGTCCTTTCCAAAGAGTCAGTTCTTCGCATCAGGTGGCCAAAGTATTGGAGTTTCAGCTTCAGCCTCAGTCCTTTCAATGAATATTCAGGCCTGATTTCCTTTAGGATGGACTGGTTGGATCTCCTTGCAGTCCAAGGGACTCTCAAGAGTCTTCTCCAACACCACAGTTCAAAAGCATCAATTCTTCGGCGTTCAGCCTTCTTTATAGTCCAACTCCCATATCCATACATGACCACTGGAAAAACCATAGCCTTGACTAGACAGTCCTTTGTTGACAAAGTAATGTCTCTGCTTTCTAATATGCTGTCTAGGTTGGTCATAACTTTTCTTCCAAAGAACAAGCATCTTTTAATTTCATGGCTGCAGTCACCATCTACAGTGATTTTGGAGCCCCCCAAAATAAAGTCTGTCACTGTTTCCATTGTTTCCCCATCTATTTGCCGTGAAGTGATGGGACCAGATGCCATGATCTTAGTTTTCTCCTTGTTGAGTTTTAAGCCAGTTTTTTCACGCTCCTCTTTCACTTTTCATCAAGAGTCTCTTTAGTTCTTCTTCGCTTTCTGCTGTAAAGGTGGTGTCAGCTGCATATCTGAGGTTGTTGATATTAGGAAGGCAGTGCTCAGGAGTATTCTGCAGAGCAGCCTGGCACCAAGAACTAGTTTAACATTCACAGTCACCAGCGTATGGCGTAACAACACACAGGTGAATTGTCATACTTTTCTGGGGGGCCTGACTATCATAACAAAGTACCACGCTGGGTGTTTTAAACAATAGAAATTTATTTTCTCATGATTCTGGAGGCTAGAAGTCCTAAATCAAGGTGTGGGGCAGGCTTGCTTTCTCCCGAGGCCTCTCTCCTTGGCATGTAGATGATCATCTTCTCCCTGAGTCCTCACGTGGCCTTCACAGTCTGTGTCCCAATCTCCTCTTTGTTCAAGGACCTATGGGATCAGGGCTCACCCTAGTGACATCATTTAATCTTGATCACCTCTTCTAAGACCCTGTCTCCAAATGCAGTCCCATTCTGAGGCTCTGGGGTTAGGATTGCAGCAGATGAGTTTGCTGCAGGCAGGGGTTAGGGGAGAAGCAATTCAACCCATAACAGTCTGTCTCGTGGTTGTCTTCTGGTGGCTTCTACATTCTCCACACACACACACGCACACGTGCACAGCCGTTTAGTGCCTGCCCCTGGGGCGCACTGCTCCTCACACCAAGCCCTGCAGGACAGGTCACTCGAACATGTGACAAGAACCATGATGGCCAGATGAGAACGAAGTTTGGAAAATGCTAAACTAACCAGTTCACAATATATTTATTTTGTCCAACAACAAAAAGCACTTTAGATATAAAAACCATTTCACCAGTTTAGGCAAACCCATTTTAAATGCTTCACCCACATGTCACCTTGACAGCTCCCCTTCCTGGAGAGGGGGTGACAGGATTTAAGGATGGGGGGACGGCACACTGGCACTGCTCTGTCCCTCTGCTGGCCCAACCTTGACATCCAGGAGACCTGTAAGCCTGACAAGGAGGGGCCTCGGGGTAGCTGAGAGGGCGCTCTGCATCCTGTCCCCTTAGTCACCATCTCTTATCTGTCCAGCCGCTGTGTGCATTTTCTTAAAACAGGCCCTGGCCAGGAAGGACAGAAAAGCGATCAATCAGAGATTAATTCCAATAAAAGAGATTGGGCGAGCAAAATCAGCTGCCCTCGGGAAAGGCTCCAGGAGGGTTTTCCAGCACTGTTCTGGAAGGACAGTGAGAGTTTAAGTACAAGTTCAGGTAGAAAAAGGGACACCCGACTCTCAGGACGGTTCTGCTGGCGTTCTGACGCCTCAGCAGCAGTGACAGCCCCAGCTTCTCTGAGACTATCCTCAGGATCTCATGCCGACACTCCCTGTCTTTGTATTTCTTCTCAGCGCAACGCGCAATTGAGATGTTTTAATTACATCTGTTTCTCAGTGCCTAACGTGGTTCTGCCTGTGTGCTTCCAGCGTGTGCTGAATCTGATGGGGAACCCGGTGATTAAGAACATCCCCAACTACCGAAGGACACTCACCGTCCGGCTAAAACACTTAACATACCTGGATGACAGACCAGTTTTTCCCAAGGACAGGTAAGGGAGCGAAAAGTCTTTTAATAACACTACGTAACAGTTGAGCATGCTCAACAGGTAAGTTTTAAATTTTTCTGATTTTTGAGCATTCCCACACATCTGTTATATATTCCAGTGAGGTAAGTTTAATGGCTTACATTACTGTTTATAACAGGAAATTCCCTGTTTTGAGCACTTATTCATGGATTTTTTTTCATAATCCTTTGATAATTATCCTTCTGTATAAAGTCTCTGATCCCATGGCTGGTTATTTCCTTAGTGTGGAATTCTGAGTTGTATTGCTGGATTAAAGACTGTAGTTTAAGACTTTTAAAAGGCACTTATAGTTTCTAGAATGTTTGTATCATTTATAACTTTCCCAGACACAGCCATGTTAAAAAAAAAAAAAACTTAGCCAGGTTAATTGGTGAGTGAAGATAGTACATCATTTACATTTTGGGGTAATGGATGAAGTTGATAGTTTTTACCACCTTTGTTGGACATTTAAAATTTCCTTCTCTGTGAGTATTGCATTCATGACCTCTTTCCAATTTCCTTTTGGGGAGATTTTTCTTATTGATTCATAAGTAATTATCGCTCAATTGTTTCTGACTCTTTGAGACCCATGACTGTAGCCCACCAGGCTCCTCTGTCCATGAGATTTCCCAGGGAAGAATACTGGAGTGGGTTGCTATTTCCTTCTCCAGGGGATCTTCCCAACCCAGGGATCAAACCCGGGTCTCCTGCATTGCAGGCAGATTCTTTACCATCTGAACTAGCAGGGAAGCTCTGTTTCATTAAGAGCTCTTTGAATATCAAGAATATTGAACCCGGGGCTGCCATGTGTGTATCATCACTGCTTTGATCTGGGTTTTTAATTTACCTTTTGATTGAGGCCGCTATTCATTCCAGCTTAGAATAATACCTCAGTAACTGGGATGGCCTGAAAGGAAGTGCAATCTGAAGCTTGAATTACCCAACATTTAAACACACACATGAACTCACAAATTTTAGTCAAACTAACACAAATTTCAAAGGGAGAGCCTCCACACGGACCAGGTGAGACAGCCAGGATCCCTGCTTGTGTGCAGTTGATCTGAGATGCTCCCAGCTCCCTGGCACCCAGCCCTGGGCGTTAAGACAGACAGCAGGCGGGCAGGGCCTGGGGGCGGACCGCAAAGCCCAGCTCTGCAGCTGCGGATCCTATGCCCTAGTCAAGCTTGCCAACCTCCCCAGCCTCAGGCTGTCTCTGGAAAGTGGAGACAAAACCGACCTCGTGGTCTTTGTGAGTATCTGTTAGTATCAGGTGGGACTCAGGCAGGAGCTCTAGGCTGTCCCAGGGCGGGAGGTGGGGCAGGGAATGTGAGCTCTCTGCTGCACCCTGCGGCAGCACCCACCAGCAGGAACGTGTAAGAGCTGGGCCCTTTGCAGGGAGACCCCTGCCCTGGACGATGTAGCAGAACTCCTCTTCAAGAGCCGGTTTCACTTGGGTTTGAAGCCTCATTCCAGCACTCTCCAGCTGTTCCACACTGGGTCCTTGACCTTCTCTCAACCTGGGATGCTCTTCACAGGTGTTTGTTCACCTGTCACCTTCTGAAGATCTCCATGACCAGCCACCTATCTAAGCCACACCTTTGCCTCTTCCATCTAGTGTCTCTTTAGTCTGATTTCTTTTTGTAGGACACATCTACCTCTGACATACCTGTTTACTCTTTTAGAGTCTCTTTCCCCATAAAAGGGCAGGTCTAGTAGAGAAAGCATCTCTCATGTTAACCTGCTTATCTCTGGCCCATAGAACAGTTTGCTCACTTCAAGTGTTCAATTCAATGGTTTTTCAGTATATTCAGAGTTGTCCAACCACCCCCACAATCAATTCTAGAATATTTTTATCACTGCCAAAAGTAACCCTTACTTATTAGCAGTCATTCCCCAACCCACCTCTGACAGCCCCAACAACCACAAAGCTACTTTCTATCTCTGTGGATTAGACTACTCTGGACATTTCAGATGCTCTGTGCTGTGTGATGAGTCCTGTTCAACTCTTTGTGACCCGTGGACTATAGCCCACCAGGCTTATCTGTCCATGGAATTTTTCAGGCAAGAGTATGGGAGTTGCCATTTCCTCCTCCAGGGGATCTTCCCAACTCAGAGATCAAACCCATATCTCTTGTGTCTCCTGCATTGGCAGGCTCAGATCTACCACTGAGCCAATATGGATTTGCCTACTCAGGACATTTCATATAGATGAAGTCACATGATACGTGGTCTTTTGTGACCGGCTTCTTTCACTGGGCATATTTTTAAGGTTCACCCACATTGCAGCGTGCACCAGTAAATTCTTCCAAAATAACACTGTGAAATAATTTCCTGTTTGGGAAGGCCATGTTTTATCAGCTGAGGGACATCTGGGTTGCTTCCACTTTCTGACTGTTGTGAACAGTGCTGCTATCAATATTCGTGTGCAGGTGTGTGTGTGTGTGTGTGTGTGGACATTTGTTCTCAACTCAGTTGAGTAAATACTTGGGAGCACGATTGCTGGATTATACAGTAACATGATCTTTGCTTTGGAATTGGCAAACTGTCTCCCGAGGTGGCTGCGCCAGTTTGCCTTCCCACCAGCCACGAAGGAGCACTCCGGTCGCCCCACATCCTCTGGGCTTTGGTGGTGTCAGCGCTGTGGATTTTAGCCGTTCCATTGGGTGTCAAGTGGCGGCGTCTCACTGGTTAGGTTTGCGCTCTCCTGACGTCACCCAATGATGAGCTTATTTGCTACCTAACTTCTTGGTGAGGGGCTCAGTTCTCTTGTCCACTTTTAAAACACTTTATATGTTTTAGATAACAAGCCATCTAGCGGTTCACTTTCTTCCAAGTGTTGTCTCCCCATGCAGTTTCTTTTAACCTTTGCCCACCTTTAGGTTGTGCTGACTTTGTGTGAGCTGTAATAGGTCTCTATATAGTCTAGATACAACCCCCAGTTAAGTAGCTGATTTGCAGACATTTTCTCACTTTCTGTGGATTCTTTTATTTGTGGGACTCTTTACATGACACCCCTTTTTAATTTTGCTGGAGTTCACTTTCTCCATTTTTTTTCTTTCGTCATGCATGCTCTTGGCCTTATAGCCAGTCGGGCTTTGCAAACCGCTAGAACTTTCAAGATGAAACTATGCCTCTGTTAGCAAGTCTTCTTACAGTCATATGCCTTCTGTGCCTTTAGTTTGATTTGGGGGGCAAAGAGCAAGTTTGGTCAGAGAGTATGTGTTTTGGATTTACTGTTAACCTGTGACAGTTCAGACCAGCCCCCCGACTTCTGGGGTCTGGGGTTTGTTTTTTTGTTTTTAATCCTCCTAAACAGAGCTTGTGCCGAGGCCTGGGCCCGAGGAGGGTACGCGGCCGAGAAGGAGGAGAGACAGCAGTGGGAGATGAAAGAGCGAAAGAAGATCACGGACAGCATTGAGGCCTTGGCGGCCATTAGGCGCCAGGCGGAGGAGAGGAAGCGGCAGAAAACGCGCCAGGAGCGAGGTGCGAGCGCAAGACATGGGAGGCCCCCCCCGCCCCAGCTCTGCTGAGATTCATTCTGGGACGGGGGAGTGAGGGAGGGAGCCCTTTGCTCACAGCCCTACGGATCCGTCTGCCCTCAACCTCACTTGAGGACAGTGCTCAAGGCGTGTTAATAACTAAGAACCCCATCCTCCTCTTACACGCAGCAGGAAAGAGTCAGGGGCTCTGTGTGTACCTTTTTTTTTTTTTGTCTTGTGGGATCTTAGTTCCCCGACCAGGGATCGAACCCTCACCCCCTGCAGTGGAAGCAAGGCGTCTTAACCCCTGGACCAAGGAAGTCCTCCATGTGTACTTTTAAATGACACTTAGTGTTTTTCACCTAATTACAAACTGTGACTACGCTACACATAGAAAACATAGACAAGCAAGGGTCATCACAGAATTGCAGCAAGAACTGCTCAGTGTTCAGTGTGAGCGTTTCCTGGCTTTTCCTCATGAGTGTAGTGCATACTTTTTTTTTAATAGAAGAAAGTGGCACAGCTCTATTGCTTTCTGCCCACTCACATTCCCATATAATAGACGTTCTCCTGCAGTATGCATTTTTCCCCCTCTTCCAACATTTAATTTGGACATTGTTCAAACAATGGTCAAATGAACACCTGTGTCATCTCCTCACGTCGAGTGTTGATTAACATTTTGGCACAGGTGTGCGCGCACACACCTTCCTGACCTGCTGACCTGCTTGAAAGCCAGGGCAAACATCATGGCTCTAACCCTGGTCCCTCAGCCCGCATCTCCTGAGAGCACCCCGCACCGTCTTCCAGGGGCCTGTGCGGGCAGTGCACGTGCTGGGGATCCCCCTGGTGGGCGTGCAGCCTGTTCACCCAGCACCCCGATGACTGCCCTGCCGCAGGTCCCCACTGCCCACCCTCGGCCTTCGCTGTGGGTCCTTCCTTGTCCTCCTAGGACCGTCCCAGCTCACCTGTGGACTTGTGCTCAGGAGAGGAGCCCGCGCCAGCTGGTGCTGGGGACGTGGACACCAAAGTGGAAGGAGAGGAAGAGCCTCAGGAGAAGAAAGAAACACGGCAGAAGATAGAGCAGTTTGTCAAGGAGAGCTTCGAGGCCAAGGAGGAGCTGTGCCCGGAGAAGCCAGCAGAGCCGAGCCCCCTGGAGGAGCTGCCTCTGGATGTCGGGGAGCCGCGAGGGGTGCTCCCCCCTGAGGCCCTGCCACCGAGCCCCAGAGCTGCCTGGGCAGGTAGGTGGTTGAGGACAGCACAGGTGCATTATCCCTGGGGCGGCTCCCGACTGGGGGACCCTGGGCTGCCTTCCACCCTGACTGCTCAGCCTGTAAGGTGATGTCTGCACACTACCTCACAACAGGACCACGAGGGGAGCCGGGACTGCGTTTCCAGTATCAGGTCCAACGTGGCTCAAGGAAGGGGGGTGAGACACCAACCGTGTATTTTATCCAACTCAGAACACCTAAAATATGGCTTCCCAGGTGGCACAGTAGTTAAAAAAAAAAAAATCTGCCTGCCAAAACAGGAGACCCTGGTTTAATCCTTGGGTCAAGAAGATCTCCTGGAGGAGGAAATGGCAACCCACTCCAGTATTCTTGCCTGGAGAATCCCATGGATGGAGGAGCCTGGCAGGCTACAGTCCATGGAGTCGCAAAGAGTCAGACTCAAGTTAGCGACTGAGCATGCACACCGAGAATATAATTTAAATCAACATGAACTTATTCATGAGATAGGTTCCTCTTTTTGACACTAAGTCTTCTAAATCCACTTCCTTGTTTCATTCTAATTGGGTGCCCTAGTGTGGCTCTTGAGTCAAACCGGGCCTGGTCAGTCCCCAAGGTGGACAGTGAACTGGTGTGTCTTGAGCAGAGCAGGGTCACTCATCTCTGATGACCGAGGCTAGAGAGGAAGCAGCGGGCAGGAGCAGGAGGGGACGGGGGGAAGAGAGGAGCCCCGTCTGGGCAACCCTGCAAGGACGTCACAGGTCTCCTTGACACTCTTGCAGCAGGAGGGGCTGTGAAACTTGGCCACTGACACCATGGCCTTTCTTTCTTCATCTCCTAGTCAAGCGATCATGCTTTTCCCAAGGTTCCTGCATGTTCTGTATAGACTCTTGGCTGGAGCTTCCATCTCCAGGTTGTAGAAAGAGGGTGCTCGCTCCCTTCCCTTCCCTTCCCTTTCACACACAGCCATTTCCTCAGCTCTTGTCACAGGAGCTGGAGGTCTTCAGACCGGAGGGTTCTGTCCTTTCTCTTGGAATCCACACTAACCGCAGTTGCCTGTCTGACTGCCGTGTATGAAACAGACTCCGAGATTACTGTAACTCTGTTGTCCTTAGAATTGGCTCCCCAGACTGTGGCCACTGAAAATGCATCAGGCACAGAGCCCGACGGAGCTGAAAATCTGGAGGCCACAAGACCAGAGACTAAGGAGCAGCTCTTCATCGATGTACGTATCCTGTGCATCTGCAGAGAAGCACGCACGGCATAGCCGGGGTCAGTGTCTGATCAGACACAAACCTCCTGCATCTTGAGCTCAGTGGGGCCTTTGGGCTGGCCCGTGTGGCCTCCCCTGGAGGTGCCACCCAGGCCCAGTGCTCAGCATCTGCAGTCAATAAGCTCTCCCAGGGCGGGTGGTGGGGAATCCATGCCTCTGCACCTTCAATACTGAGAGCACTGGCCAGACGAACCCCCTTGAACTATATCTGCGAAACTCTCGATGCATTTCCCCATGAGAAGTTACCCTCTCAGCAGCTCGGTCTGGCCGTAGATGGAACCGCTGGGAAAGCTACGCTTAATCATCAGAGCCTTGTGTGCTCTTGGGACAGTTGCCCATCTTCCTGGCCTGTCCCACATCCTGTACCTCAGGACCAATTCAGGGGGGTCACCTGACCTTGGGCCCAATCATGGCCTTGAGAACGGCCCTTCTCCCTGCAGCGTGTCCGCTCTGATGACAGCCTTCCACGCCGTGCCCGCGGGAATGTGTCCCTGAGGATATGCACTTTTGGCACGACCCCTGGGCACTGTGCTTTAGGGGGGTGAGGAGTCAGGGCTGGTCTCACCTTTAGCTTTACACCCTGCTTCCCCAGAGGACAGCCGCCTCTCTGCCCATGAGCGAGCTCCTTCAGTTCAGACCGTGTGTGTGGTTTTGCCTGCCCTCTGCCCGCTCCCTTCATGAAACATGAAACATGAAACACTCGTGTTTCACTCCCAACTTCACAATTTCACGTGGCTCAGTAAGGTTCAATTGAGCACAGTCAGTATTCAGAGTGGCATTTCCAGTTTTCTGGGCCTAATATAGATACAACAAAAGTAGGCACTTCAGCCCTAACGTGTGAGAACCAACCATATACAGGACCCCGATGCTACGCTAACACTGACTGTCCTTCCTTTTTGTCTGGTGCTACTTTAAATACCTCTTGTATCGACTGATTTAACCCTTCCAGTAACACTAAGAGGTAGGTTTCATCCCCACTTTACAGAGAGGGAAACTGAGAAACAAAGAGGCAGAGCACCCCGCCCAAGGCTACACAGCCAGACAGTGGTGGGGCAGGAACAGCAGCCCAGGCATCTGACTTCCTCACATGCGGTTGTGGTGCTACAGATGAAGACACCCCAAGACACAAAACAGAAAAGCACTGCCTCCCCACCCCGGTTTTGGGCAAGGTTCAAAAGAGACTCACTTTGTGCCAGGCAGGGTCCTAGGATCTAGGACCTAGTTGTACATAGGAGGTAGATTTCCCCCAGATGAACTGGGTAATACCAAAGTGAAGTGGAGAACGAGGTGGAAATTTTTGAAACACGTCACGCCTTACAAAGCCCTTTCTTTCACTGACCAGATCCAGGTACCTGGAGTGGTACGTGGAGTGTGTGTGCTGCCCATACACGCGGCTCGAGTGTCCACGTTTGTGCTGCCCATACACGCGGCTCGAGTGTCCACGTGTGTGCTGCCCGTACATGCGGCTCAAGTGTCCACGTGTGTGCTGCCCGTACACGCGGCTCGAGTGTCCACGTGTGCTGGGTGTACACACAGCTTGAGTGTCCACGTGTGTGCTGCCCGTACACGCGGATCAAGTGTCCACGTGTGTGCTGCCCGTACACGCGGCTCGAGTGTCCACGTGTGTGCTGCCCGTACACGCGGCTCAAGTGTCCACGTGTGCTGGGTGTACACACAGCTTGAGTGTCCACGTGTGTGCTGCCCCGTACACGCGGATCGAGTGTCCACGTGTGTGCTGTCTGTACACATGGCTCAAGTGTCCACGTGTGCTGGGTGTACACACAGCTTGAGTGTCCATGTGTGTGCTGCCTGTACACGCAGCTTGAGTGTCCACATGTGTGCTGCCCGTACACGCGGATCGAGTGTCCACGTGTGTGCTGCCTGTACACGCGGCTCAAGTGTCCACGTGTGCTGGGTGTACACATGGCTCGAGTGTCCACGTGTGTGCTGCCTGTACACGCGGCTTGAGTGTTCACGTGTGTGCTGCCTGTTCATGCGGCTCAAGTGTCCACGTGTGCTGGGTGTACACATGGCTCGAGTGTCCACGTGTGTGCTGCCTGTACATGCGGCTCGAGTGTCCACGTAAGTGTGCTACATGTACACGCGGCTTGAGTCTGTAGGTTGCTTCGTGGGCCCCTCCACACTCTGTGGTTGGTTGGTGCGGTGGCCACGTCTCTTCCAAGGACTGGATGCTGAGCACACGCCCTCCTGCTGACCAGGGTCATTTCCTCTTCCAGGACCTGCCTGACTTGGAAGATGTGAATGCCGGCGAATCTCTGGGCCACCGGGATAGGGTGAGCTCCCGTGTCCCCGCAGTTCCACTTCCCCCCTCCTCTCCCAGCCCCGTCGATGACCAAGTATGTCAGGGAGTCGCAGGCCCTGCCTGATGCCTCACACACCCGGGACTCTCACCTCAACCTCAGGAAAGGCTTACCGCTGCTCCTTTCTCTGAGGTTTTACAACTAGACACTTGGGGGGTTTTTTGGAACAGATCTTTTATCACTGAGCTTTAATAAGCATGTACTGCACATCATTACCTGGACTTTTTTCTGTCCTTGACGTTTCCGTGTGTTTATCTGATGAATGCCAGTGCAACAATGACACACGGGCAGGGAAAGGTGAGCGGGGAGGAGAGGGCAGGGGCCCGATGCGGACGTCTCCTGAGCTGACCTGACCCTCCCCACAACATTACCAGAGCCCCGCGGGGCCTGAAAGAGAGAGAGGCGCCTGGGACGTAATCTCAGGGTGGGAGCTCGTGATCACAGGAAGGACACAGACACAGAACCCAGTTCTGTGGGGGCCTGACCACCAACGCAGGGCTAGGTGGCCGGTGCAGGCGTAGCCGCCAGGAGCCCGGGCTCACAGATGACTGGTTCAGGACCCAGGTTGGGGCTGGTGCAGCGGGAGCAGAGAGGGTGGGCCCGTGCCCCACGGAGACCTGGCCACAGGGCTCATGACCGCCTCGGGGTGAGCGCTGTGCTCCCGGGGGCTGTCCCTGATGTGGCGCCAGAGTGTGACAGACAGAAACGCAGAATTAGCGGTGTGCACTTTAGGGACGCTAGTGTGAAAACAGCATGGCTCAACACACCTTCTCCTTTTAACAGGAGCAGTGCTTTCCAAAGATTACAGCCATCTTGAGCCCAAGTGACAACAGTGAGCCTGATGTGGACAACATCTCACTCCTAGAGCTGGAAAATGCATCCTCAGACACGCTTTCCAGTATATTTGCAGTCCCCAAGGACATCTCCTGGAGGGTGGAGACCGAGACGCCCTTCACAGACATACTTAAAGTGGCACCAGAGAGGGACCCGGAAACCCAAAGGAGAGCGAGTGAGGTCCCTCGCCCACTGATTGAGGAGCTGGGCAGTGATGAGGAGCCGGGCAATGATGAGCCTTCAGGGTTGTCAACCCTGCCCCCCGTCTGCGAGGGGGAAGCTGTGCCTGCCCCACGCACTGAGGACAGCAATGGGGACCTACTTCCGGCCCCCGCTCCAGGTAATGTCCGCTGACCTTCAAGGTCACAGGGGCCAAAAGCTTCTTGGTGGGGAAACAGACGGTGGACCACCCAAGCCCAGAGTGGTGGCCACCTGGGGCTTTGTCGTCAGGATCCCATGTTCTCGGTGGTGGTGGGGGGTCACTCACAACCTCTCTAGAATCGGCAGAGGCCACAAGAGCGTGTTCCCACGTGGGCGACTTGCAGCGTTCTTGGCCAGAGAGCTGAGGAGCTACCAGGCTGCCCCCTCCCCACCATCCCCATGCTCGGCCCTTCCCGACCAAGGAAGGGGACCAGTGACACCACAGCTGGGAATACGGGATGAGACCAGGGCTGCAGCTGGCCCAAGGGTGGGGCTGCACACGTGGGTCCCCAGAGCGGCACGAGTGACAGATGTGCCGGCAGGGAAGGGAGCTGTGGCAGGTGCGGGCGGCGCCCACAGTGCTGGTGGGCGGGGCAGGAGAAGCCACTCTCCACACACTGCCTGGCCCGCCAGCCTGGGGGCCTGTGCCCGTGACCAGGGAGAGGCACCGTCGGGGCAGCTGGTCAGCGCCTGCTCCTCACAAGCATGCCGGGGTAGCTCCATATTCCGAGACTATGCTCCCCGACTGCGAACCGAACGCGGGGAGCCCGTGGTGCAGACGATCCCCGCTCTGACCCACGGCGCGCAGCCGCCTCAAAGCCGGCACACAGGAAGGGGTGAGGGCTGACCACGCTTCCCCAGAACACTGAGCCACCCCTTGCCTAACTCTGTAGGAGACAGCCCTCAGAAGGATGAAGTCCAGTCTGAGGTGGAGCCCGAGGAGCGCCCGGGGTCCGAGGCAGGAGAAGACCGGGAGGACGTTGAATTTGGCCTGGACTGAGCCCCGGGCAGCCCCTCTGCTCTTGTACCAATGGGCACAGGCCCAGGCCTGACCCCCCAGCGGGGGTGGGCTCCCCTTCCCTTCCGAGAGCTGTGGTTACCGAGGGCACTGGCCCCGGCTCCCTTCTCCCGTGGGCACAGCCCCTGTGATATAAATGGCCCCCTGCACCCCACGCTCTAAGCCTCACACAAGCCCAGTCATTTGCAGTGTAAACCATGTCACGGTATAAACATTTCAACATCCACATGGGCCCTTGTATTACTGGATTATCTAACATTTGGGTGAGTCACAGGTCATTCACTCCATCAGGTACTGAAATAAGAGCCTTTCCATTCTTCTGAGGAGAAACCCAGGTCCCGCTCTGGGGCCTGTGCCGTTCCCAGGGGTGGGGGGGCGTGATTTCCCCGCAGCAGAAGCAGGCTCTTCACTGGGGCCACAGAGCCACGGAGGGTGCGAGCCTAATGCACTGAGTGTGGAAAGCCACGGAAGGGGACACGGCCAGCCTGAGAAAGTCCATCATTCAACACCAGGGTCAGCGATGGGTTTATTCAACCCCTAACATGGGTCCAAAGTGCCTCCCTCTCTACGTTAGATTGTGCTAGGAACCGCATCACACAAACACTGACCACAAACCACTGACACCCAGTGAGCGCGGGCCGCCTGGGGAGCTCGTTTCACCATCACCCACAGTGCCTAGGAGCCACGGCTCTGGCCCCCACTGGGGTCCCGAGCGCGCCTGCAGCCCCTGCCTCCGGCACGACACTGTTGGCCGGAAGGGATCCCAGCGACACCGACCTTCAGGACTGGGCTGCCAGGGCTCCACCACGTGCCCCGAGACCGGACCTATGGGAGAAAGGACTACTTTGCTGTCGTCCTTCCCCCGACGTGGCTCCAGACTGCTTACAAGCGTCTCCCAGTCACGAAGGCCTTCCAGAAGCAGGAGATCTGCTCCCTGGGGACTGTTCTCTGATTCCCGTTTCAACCACAAAAGCAGCAGCTTATCGAGGATGGCAGGCTCCTGGAGCTGGCAACCTCCCCGGGCCTCAGAAACCCATGCGGGGCTTCTTCCGGAGCCGCTGAGAGCCAGAGCGTGTGGCCAGGATGCTGGGGGTCTGGGAGGAAGGCGGGGTGGCGCCCTCTGGGGTGTCCCCTCGGGGCAGCTGCTGGACCATGCCGTCCCGGGGGGTGTGCTGCCTGGAGGGTGTGGCCCGGACGCTGGGGGTCTGGGAGGAGGGGAGGGTAGCGCCCTCTGGGGTGTCCCCTCGGGGCAGCTGCTGGAACGTGCCGTCCTGGGGGGCATGCTGCCCTGAGGGTGTGGCCCGGACGCTGGGGGTCTGGGAGGAGAGTGTAGAGGCCCCTCCTGGGGTGTCTGCGTGGAGCGGCAGCTCAGCCATGTAGTCACGGAGGGTCTGCTGCCGCTCCGAGGGGACACCCTGGGCCCAGGGCTCCTGGGTAAGCTCCTGGGAGGGCGGGGTCCTTGGGGGCTGGGGCCTGGCCTCGGGCACCGTGCGGCCTGGGCTGGGCGGGGGGCTGGCAGCATCTGAGAGGTCCACGCGGCCACTGAGGGAGGAGAAGGTGCTCGACAGCTGAGTCCGCCGCTTCTGCCGCTTGGGTTGCTTCCCAGGCCCCGCGCGCCCACCCCGCTGCCTCTCCCACCAGGCCGCCGCACCGAACTCCCAGGCTGCCTCCAGACGCTCGCTGAGCTCATCCTCGGGGCCAGGCTCGGGGGCAGGGGGCCGCTCCTCCGGGGGGAGCAAGCCCAGGTCCCTCTGCTGCAGCAGCCGCCCCTGGGCCATGGCCCTGCGGAGACCCTCGGGCACCGGCCCCTCCACCTTCTGAGGCTCGAAGCCGCCCAGCAGCCGGCGGTGGGAGAAGGTGGGTGCTGCCCACACTGGGGGAGCCAGGGGCACCGCCAGCAGGGCCTCCAGCCACCGGCTGCAGCAGGCAGTGGCCTGGGGTGTCCAGGAAGCTGCGGGGGCATGAGCGTTGGGCCCGGGGTCTGTCTGGAGGTGGAGACGCTGGTAGAAGACGTCTCCGGCCGCGGAAAGCTGGAAGAGCGACAGCACTGGTATGGAGGCAGGGGGTGGGATGACAGCGGCCAGACCTGGGGACGGAAGGACAGTGACCAGAAGGCCTGGGGGGTGTGGCTCTCTGCCCGCTCCGGCCCCCAACGCACCTATGGTGGGTGCTTTCAGACGCTCCTGCAGCCTCTGGTGACTCTTGGGCTCCAGCAGGGGGAAGGCAGAGAGGGAGTCGCTCCTGGTGGGGAGAGACTGGGGGAGCCCTGCCAGCCGGGGCGTGGAGGCCCCCGCTCCTGTAGGAGGGACAGACAGCTGAGGCCCTGTCCAGGCCTGCCCCACCCACCCCCCTGCCCCGCCTGGCACCTCACCTTCGAGGTGCAGCAGCTGTAGCTCTCCGCCCTGGCCAGCCAGGAGCAGTGGCTGGGGGAGGCCCGGGCGCGGCGGGGGCAGCAGCTGGGCCAGCAGAGGTGCAGAGCGGAGGCCGTGGTTCCACTTGAACAAGGGCACCAAGGGGAGGCGCTCATCCACCAGGTAGACGGAGAACTGGCAGAAGACGAGGCATGAGACCGATGGGGCGGGACGAGTCTCCCTGGGTCGCCCCCTGGCCCCTTCCAGAGCCCCATGTGGTTTTCAGAGTAGCCCGGCTCTGCACAGGGGGCGTCTCTCCAGCAGGTGTCCCTTGTCCTGATGGTCCCGCTGGGAGAGGGGCTCTCGGGAGAGGCTTTCACAGCCTTCCCGACCCTTGCCCAAGGCTGGCACACATGCCGACACCAGGAGCGCCCAGGGTGCTGACCGGGCGGGGTGGGGCGGGGCGGGGCCAGACCTCCTCCCCTTCTGCCCCTCTCCCTCCCCGGCTGCTGTCCAGGGCCCTGGGACCTGTGCCTCCAGTCACCTGAGACAGGGCAGGACAGAGAGAAGAGGAGGTGAGCCCACCTGGGTGCAGACGAGGTGGAGCATGGGGTGCAGAGACTCGGGGCCAAGATCCCCCAGGTGCTGGGTAAGCAGGACCCGCTCTCCTTTCTGGCATGACGCCTCTGCCCCTCCACGAAAGAGCAGCAGACCACAGCCTGGCGGGCCCTGGGGGACACGATGGGTCAGCTCTCCCATGGTCCACCATCTGTGGTTTCAACCAGCCGGGGACTCGCTGGCCCTGTGGCTCGTCACGCCCGCTGGCAGAGGCCCCCCCACCCCGTGCCCTCACCTGAGTGTCCACCATCTTCACTCCGGTGCGGTCACCCACCGTCAGCACTCGAGGGTGGGCGGTGAAGTCTGCCCAGCGCCAGGGAGAAGGGTCCCGGAACACCAGGGTCTCAGGGTCCTTGTAGATTTGCCGCAGCCTTGGGGAGACAGGCCAGCCGTGGTGGGGGGGACAGGCTGAGGGGGAGGACTGGGCACCCTGGCCGGGCCCCAGCCGGGTTCTGGGGGGCCCGTGTTGGGGTGAGGGTTTCTGTGGCAGAGGCCTTACCCATCTTCGGTGCTCCACAGACAGACGGCTCCGGAGCGGCTGCAGATGACCATCTCTCCGGGCAGGTGAGGGCTGCAGGGCACACGCATGAGGAACGCCGGGCCACCCCTTCTCCCAAGCCCGCCTCCACGCACACTGCCCCCTCCCCCCACGCCCCTCACCTGAGGCTGATCCCTGTGGCCCCCTTGTCCACCTGCAGCACCTGGAGAGGGGCTGGCTGCCCCTGCGTACTGACCTTCCACAGGGCACAGTGGTGGTCAGAGCGGACAGCCAGCAGAGCTGGAGGAGGGAGAGGGTCAAGGTGAGGGTGAGGGTCAGCAGCAGGAAAGTAAGCCAAGGGAGGCGTCCACAGCCTTACCTTCTCCCTGCACGCTGCGGGTCACCACCTGCCGGACAGGTCCCCGGAGCTGGATACGGCCAGGGTCTCTGAGAACCTGGGGCTCGCTCTCTGGGGTCAGACTGACCTTCTGGAAACCTGGGCATCTTGCTAAGGACAAGTTCACGAACTCTGGCCACTCGAGGCCCACAACTCCCTGCCCATCCCTGGCCTGTGCCCAGCAAGGGAGGATACACAGTGTGTCCATGGTGCTGCCCACGGGGTAGACCAGCTGCCCGGCCCCGGGGGTCCTGCCGGGCACCCAAGCCAGCGCGCCCCCAGTGCAGACATCATCCAGGAGCAGCCGCTCCCAGCGCAGGGCCAGCTCCTCATGCAGCAGCTCTCCCAGGAGGCTCGCCACCGACGTGCTCAGGATTGGGGCCCCAAGGATGGAGAACCGGCGCTGGCGCTGGCTGAGGTAAGCCCAGGGACAGCTGGGGCGAGACGACGGCAGGAGGGTCAGGCCAGCCCAGGGAGGCCCAGTATAGCGGACGCATTTTAAAATCAACCTAGAACTCCTTCCTCTGCAAGAACACCCCACCCTGTTCCTGTGCTGCAGTCACATGACCCAGGCCTGGGCACTCGGGGGTCACCCCAGCCACAGTGATGGGTTCATGATGGGCATGATACCCAAGCCAAGCCGAGCCAAGCTCACCCTTCCTGGGACTTCTGCTGGTGCCTCAGGAAGGCCACTAGCCCTCTCCCTGGAATCAGTGGCCTCTCCCTGGAATCATAAACCACGTTGCTGCCACCTGGAAACAGTCTGCCTAGGAACTAAGCCAAGCAGAAGCAAGTGGATGAAAAGGTAAAGGTAAAGCTCTACTAACACCTGAACGCCTGGATGCAGCCACACCTGCATTCCATGAGCTTACCGTCCTTTTCCCCTCCACTGCTAGCACAGCTGGGGTTTGGATGAGGAAGTGTGGCTCATGCGTGCACTGGGGAGGGCAGAAGCAAATGCTGATGGGAACTGGCATCCCGGCCTGGATCCTTCCAGAGCCCCACCACCGGCTAGGCCTACCCAACCCGTCCTCTCTCACTAGCCACTTGCCCCCAGGGCTGGTGTCCACCGAGGTCCTGGAGTAGCCTCTTCACACTGACCACTGTCTTCGTCTTAGAGCGGCTCTGTGTAGAAAGTCCTCGTCAAGCTCACACGCCCGAGGGCCCGCCCCGATGGGAAGTGGGGCGCCCCCCCACCCCCAGGCCGGCCAGGGTTACTCACATGTGCTCCTTCCAGTTTGAAATTCTCCAGCAGTAGCCTCCCCAGGGGTGCAAAGGCTATGTCTCCGTGGTTCCACAAGAACCGGCTGACCTGCAGAAGGAAAGGAGGCCGGGTCAGGAGGCACAGCCCCGGGCCCATAGCACTGTCCCCTGGGTGGGCCCTCGCACCTGCTCAGTAACATCCAGCACGGCTCGGGGATGTCTCCGGAACTGGTAGCCTCCCCGGAAAAGCAGATCTTTGGCAGTCAGGCCAGGGTCCCAGGGATCTGAGGAAGAGGGAGGCTGGGAAAGGACTGAAGTGGAACCAGGCATCCCCGTGCCTAGAGGTGCCAAGGACCCTGCTGGGTGGAAGGAAGCAGCAGGGGGCTGGGGAAGCAGCAGTGAGTGGGAGCAGCTCGGGTGGGGCCCCCAGCCCGAGCTCCTTACCGGGGCCAGGAGGCAGCAAGGGCAGGGGCCCGGGCATGTCCGGCTCCCAGAGCAGGTCCTTGGCCACGTGTGGCGCCCTGTCCTGAGGAAACACAACCACGGCCACAACGTGACAGAGCGAGCGCCCAGGCCAGGCCCTGTCATCAGCTCTTGCCTCTCATTAACTCCTTCAGTCCTACCAGGCGCATGCCAAGCTGGTCACTGTCACTTTAATGACGGAGAAAGCGGCAGGAACGGGGAGGCCGTCCCTAGTCCGGGCAGCAGCCAGAGAAGACAAGGGCTGGGATCTGGACGCAGGCAGCCTGACTCCAGTCTGTGCGTCCCACCTCCAGGCTGCACTGCCCTCGGAGGGTGGCCCGGCCTTCACTGGCCGGCCCGGATCCCACCCACATGTCACTAACACTCGGGAGACCGTGCAGTCGCCCACAGGCTCCTCCGCCCCCCTGCAGGGCTGGCCTCAGACAACTCAGCTCCACACTCGGGGATGGTAGAGCAGCAGGTGAGGCTCCTGATGGAAGCCCTTCCTTGTCAAGGGGGCGCTGCCAACCCCCACCCACACCCCCGCCACCTGTCCAGGGTCTCTCTTAAATTTCTCACCCATGTGCCTCTGCCCGGCGTAACCCTTAGCCAGCCTGTCTCCAAGTGGCAGCCAATGGCTTAGGCGTCCAGGGAAAGAGCAGGTGTCCTTCCTGTCCCAGGTCTCCCTGCCCCCCTCACCTTGCACTGTGTGGCTCCAGCATCTGTTTGGTTTCGCTCAGAGCTGTCCACACTTTGAAATGATTTTATCTTCTGACCTATTCACTTGTCAGTCCCCACTCCACCTAACTGTTCCCCAGGGGCAGGGAGCACATCTAACTTACTCACTCTGGACCCTCAGGGCCTGATAAGGCACCTGGCACACAGTAGGACTATTCACTGAGTATTCGTTAAACAAATAGAGAAAGGAGAAGGTTGGGGGAGAGGGAGACAGGAAGGAGGGTGAACCCTCTGTGGATGGCAGGGCACCCCAGGTCCCCAAAGGACAGGATTCTGGTTGAGCCTGGGTCTTAGTAGATTTGTACCAAAGCCCCCCACCCTGCACTCCTGCCAACTGGTGTGACCTCTAGAATGGGGGAGCCAATCGATGTCCCCCCAACCGCCGCGGAGCCACCAAGGCTCTCCCTGCCATCCTCACCTGAGAGCCTTGGGGCGAGGATGCTGGCAGGGTCAGCGCATATCTCCAGCTGCACATGAACGACAGGTCAGGGACATCACTCTGACCAAGGGGGCCAGTCATGAACAATGAGGGTGGGAGGGAGCTGGGGAAGTCCATCTTGAAAAACAGGAGCCACTGTCACCCTGGCCTTCCTCAGAGACCTGAACCGGACAGTGGCTTCCGGGGCTCCTGGGAGAGTGAAGAGTGCCTTAAGAGGAAGATAATCTCTTTGGGGAAGCAGATAACAAAGAACAAATGAATGTGTCACCAAATGCCCGAGAATAGTAGGTGCTATACCAAAACCAAGCAACCCACCAGGAGGGAAGGGATGGCAGGGCCTGAGGGTGAAGCATCGGTAGCTTCATGAAGATGGTGTCCAGCACACACAGAACCTAATGACAGAGACAAACATTCCAACTACTGGGAAGAGAGTACTGGGCAGAATGAACAGCAAGAACAAGAGTCCTGGGGCAAGAAATACGTGAGAAGCAACTGGGCAGCCATGGGAAGAACTAGGGGGTGAGTGATGGGGACCAAAGTTAGAAGGTGGCTGGGTAGGGGTCAGCTTCCATCACGCTCTCACGTATCACATTATAATTACATAGTCCTACCTGGACGACAAGCCCCACACTCTAGGCTACACTCTCAAGACAAACTCAAGTTCCCCAAAGCCAGAGACGAGTCTGATTTGTCTGCCTTCCCACTGTCGAGTACAGTACCTTCCAACAAAAAGGAACCAACTGTACTGAATAATAATGTTTATGTCAAAGGGCTTTGGAGACTGCAGCCATGAAATTCAAAGATCCCTGCTCCTTGGAAAGGGAAGCTATGACAAACCTAGACAGCGTATTAAAAAGCAGAGACATCACTTTGCCAACAAAGGTCCATATAGTCAAAGTTCGGTTTTTTTCAGTAGTCATGTATGGATGTGAGAGTTGGACCAAGAAGAAGCCTGAGTACTGAAGAATTGATGCTTTCAAACTGTGGTGTGGGAGAAGATTCTTCAGAGTCCCTTGGACTGCAGGTAGATCAAACCAGTCAATCCTAAAGGAAATCAACCCTGAATATTCACTGGAAGGACTAAAGCTGAGGTTTCAATACTTTGGCCACCTGATGCGAAGAGCCGCCTCATTGGAAAAGACTGCAGCTGGGAAACAGTGAAGGCAGGAGGAGAAGAGGGTGGCAACGGATGAGATGGTTAGAAAGCATCACTGACTCAGTGGATGTGAACTTAAGTAAACTCCAAGAAATAGTGACGGACAGGGAAATCTGGCGTGCTGCAGTCCATGGGATCACAAAGAGGGTGAACAACAACAACAAAATACAAAGTGCTCTAGAAGAATAAGCAGCTGTAATATCCTTTATTATCTACAAAAATAAGAGCAGTTCTCACTTACTGAGTGCCAGCATCTGCCCAAAATGGTACTATAAGTTTTATTCTCCTGCCATTAGTATGGAGGTCAGAAAACAGGCTGGGAAAAAGCAACTTGTCCAAGGCCAATAGCGTGATCCTCCAGCCGCTCCAAAACCCGTTTTGAACCACTACTCTCCCTGCATCCAGAAGCGAGCACCAGCCTCAGAGCCTCACTAAGCAAAACCTTTCCCCTTAGAGCTACCACTGCATGTATCCATTTATTTTGTAACCTCTGTACCTCCAGGTACTCTGAGCACCTTGCAAAGTGCTCACCACACAGTAAATGTTGGCAGATGGTAAAGAATCTCTCTGCAATGCAAAAGACTGAGGTTTGATTCTTGGGTAGGGATGATCCCCTGGAGAAGGGAATAGCAACCCTCTGCAGTATTCTTGCCTGGAGAATTCCACGGACAGAGGAGCCTGGTGGGTTACAGTCCATGGGGTCACAAAGAGTTGGACACAACTGAGTGACTAGCACTTTCACTTTTCAAATGAGGGACTTACCCAGTGGTCCAGCGGCTAATGCAGAGGGCCCAGGTTCGACTCCTGGTCACAGAACTAGTTCCACAGGCTGCAACTAAGAGTTCGAATGCCATAACTAAGACCCAGTGCAGTCATGTAAATAAATAAATAAATAGTAATTAAAAAAAAAAAAACTTGTCAAACGAATGTGTTTCTCAGGGCACAGGTCAGCCTCATTCTAATTGTGATTTATATGCCTTATCTCTTCTTCAGGACTGCTCTCTGGGATAGGAACTGTATCTGATTCATTTCTGAGCTCCTGGCATCTGATTGTTACTGTCTTTCTCCTCCATCACAGGAGAGGACAGTGGTGGGAATGCGTCTTTTCATGAGAGGACCCTTTCACACTATCTCTATCTCTCCACTAAAAATGAACACCGTTGCCCTTCCTACCCACCTATAAAATCCGCCCCCATCCTTCAGATTTTGTCAGGAAGCCTCTACTGGTTCCTCCAGCCCTGTCCCACATCACCCTGCATTCCTCCTCTGCAGCACGCATGTGTGATAAGATATTTAAAGGTAAAGCTATGTGATTCCAAACTGCTCTGAGAGTCCCCATAGGGAAGGGACTTTATCCCCGGTGCCTGCCTTATTTACTACGTGATGGACAGGAAAGCCTGGCGTGCTACATGCAGTCCATGGGGGCGCAAGAGTCGGGCACGACTGAGCGACTGAACTGAACTGAAATCAGTACGTAAAAGCTGAAGGCACAAATCCAAGAATAAGGAACTAGACAGTCTCAAACAAACGCAGGGAGGCTGAGGGAGTTGGTGGAGCCCACGACCTCAGAGAAGCCCCGAGATAAGACAGCCTCGACTTCCCGCCTTCGTTCTCTCCCAGATCCTAATTTAGACCTCCGGAGTTTCCTCGGGTCTGCACGAACTACGGGTGTGGCAACAGGTGCGCCTGCCGGGGTATGGGAGAGGGGATGAGGGAGGCCCTTCCCTTCAGACCTCTACTCGCCCACGTCCTCCCCATCCGTCTCTTCCCACTCCACGTCGAGGCCCCAGAATTTCAACACAAGAACAGCAGGCATCTCACACCAAGCGCTGTGTGCCAGACAGTTGTTGCTACGACGCTTTACAACGGAGTGATGCTCCCCGCTCCATGAGCCAGCGGCTGCTCACCACCCACTCTGCAAAGGTTGGGCGACTCGTCCCAAAGCCACACAGCTTGGGGCCGGTGGACTGGAGCAGGGGGACCCGCCCCTCCGTCCCGTCGGAGCGGTGCGCGCACTTACGTGATCCCGTCGCGCCGTGCTTGTCTGGGAAACTGACCTCCGCGTGACGCTCGCCTGACCCTCGTGCTACGACGGAGCCCCAAGGCGGAACCCTAGCTCCAGAGCCCTCAACCCGACAGCCTCACAGAAACGATGAACCGCCTCCCCCGGCTGGGCCGGAAATGCTCTCTGGAAGGCAGGAAGTCCCGCCTCCCAGCCCGGCCTCAGGGGCGCTCCAGAGCGCCACCTCCCGGGAGGAGGGAGAATGCGAGTGCAGACGGCGTCGTGGGCACTGGAAATTAAGTAAAAGGAAATGAAAAGTGAAGTCGCTCAGCCGTGCCCGCCTCTTTGCCACCCCATGGATTGAAGCCCGCCAGACTCCTCTGTCCATGGGGTTCTCCAGGCGAGACTACTGGAGTGGGTTGCCATGCTCTCCTCCAGGGGATATTCCTGACCCAGGGCTCATACCTGCGTCTTTTGCAGCTCCTACACTGCAGGCAGATTCTTTACCGCTGAGCCACCAGGCAAGTCCTCAGAATTGTCTTTCTTGAGGTCAATCCTTGAACCGTTTGGGAGGTTGAATCTACCTTGCCCCACATCTGTTCTTCCAAGTCAAATGTTAACAGGTTCTAACCGACTGTTTCTCTATGCCTTAGTGTCCACATCGCCCCCCTCCTGGCTCGTATTGTCAGATCCGAAAGTAGCAAGCAGCAGCAGCAGCAACCGCAACAAAACTTACAGACCGTAAGCTCAGTAACTGGTCACATTTTCCCAGTCACTGGCTCCTACAAGACTGTTAAAATTTCCATCTCCTTAAAGCAACATGGTAGCGAGCCATATGAAAATTGTCTTCATTCTTAACTTTATTTTTGTTATTTCTCCTTCGTCGCTAGACCCTCATTTTTAAGAATTGCTATCTCGACATGTTTTTACGAACCAACCCAAATTCACTTCTGAGGGGAAAAAAAGCGGCCTGGGGAGGGCAGGATATAAAATGACTAATTTTAGCTAAAGCCCACATGGAGCACTTACAGTTGGCTTCAGGAAGGCTTAGGGTGAACAGATTTTAATTGTTGGCCCTAAAGATTCTGTGAGGCTGCTGCAAATGAAAACACCATTTCGTACAGAATGAGGGCCTCCAGTCCTCCCCTAGGCTCAGCTGCTTAAGCAGCTGGGGAGGGCAAACTGGCAAAATGCGGAGTGGAGGGCTGCCTTGGACCGCAGCAGGGGTGAGGTGCTGAATTTGGGTCCCCAGACGCCTCCCCCTGGCTTTTATTTCCCAAACACCACTCAAGCGCAGAGAAGATGATGGGAGGGCCCTGTCCTCCACCCTCACCTTACACCCGGAGCCCCGCCCGTGAAGTAAGGAGATTGGCCAGCTGACCACTTAGTCCACATCCAGGCTCTGGCTGCCTGGGAGACTGGCCTCCCATTGGCTGGGCATACTGTCCTGCTACAGCTTTATGGGCTCTCATTGGCTACGAGTGAGGTGCGAGGCGGAGCTCAACATGCGCCGCTGGTTGTACCACGTGCTCCCCACGTGGGCGCTCGCTCTGGCGTGTAAAAGGGCGCGGGTGGCGCCACAACGTGCCCGCTGTCCCCTCCGGTTCTCGAGTCCAGCCATGGCTTCACAAGCCAGTGCAGCTCTGGCCACCGACGACAGTGGCCGCAGGAAGCCCCGTCTGGCAGCATCACTGCAGATCAGCCCAGGGTCCAGCCCCTGGAGGCCTTCGGCCAGTCTGGGCCAAGAGTCTGCACCCGCCCCCAACGCAGAGGACGATGAACCGGGCGGGCAGCTCCAGGCCTCTACAGCGGCTGGGGATGGTGGGGCCCGGGTGGGGGCAGGGATGGGGGAGCTGGGGGCGGCCGGGCACAGGAAGGATGGGGAGGTCCCTGAGGGTCGCTGTACCACCTGCAGGGCCCGCCGGGGACTTCCCGAAGGTGGCCAGACATCTGGGCCTGCTTCTCAAAGACCCACCGCCGGGCCAGGCCGTGGCCTCGCTTACTCAGTACGCGGCCAATCTGGGCGTCTCCCTGATGTTTCGAGAAGGCCAAACAGCAGGTGAGGCCCAGGGGGCTGGGATAGCAGCGTGCCCTGGGCTGTTTTCAAATGAAGCCAGGAAGACTGAGTTGGGCCTGGGGCCCGAGGTAGGCTTGCTGTGAGCAGCGTGGTGCCAGGCACCAGGTACCCCAGATTTCTAACTAGCAGGTGACGGCGGGGGGTTGGGGGGGGCTGGGAGGGGCGGAGGGGGCACATCTAAAGCTCAGGTTGGTTAAGGGATCTGCCTCAAGCTACCCAGCCTTTCAGCAGGTTTTTTTGAAGGTCAGTTACAAAGAATTCTAGTTACCATGCCAGCATTGGAGAGGAGGTGCCTAAGTGAGGGCCAGCCCACCCCAACTCAAAGAGGTTTTCAGATACAGTTTAATGATGGCAACACTGTATGCAGATATAATGGTTATAGTCCTCCTCCCAGAACCACCAAGATCCATACACCAGGTCCCTCCTAGATTCAGATTCCCAACTTTCAGCCAGCACATTCCCTGCTTCTAAGAACTTTTGGGAGCATTTGTAAAACTTCCTTGGAGAACCCCAAATTGAACAACTCAAAACGAGATAATGTATTAAAAAAAAATCTACCTGGGATTTGTTTTAATCAGGTATGTTAAGACAGCAGACATGAGAGTGCTTGTCAGGAAGGAGACACAGATGGACATGCAGGGCTGTGTGGGAAAGGATGGAGTGGTCAGGAGGAAGAGGAGAGGGGCAGGCACAGCCCAGGGCATTAATTGGGTTTTCTTGGAAAAGAATGGGTGGAGCAGGGTACCTATGCAGAGTGAGATTAGGATTGATAAAAGCAAGACACTGGATAAATTTAGGGTTTGTGGGGTGGTTCCTAGCTGCCTAGTACCTGGCCTCGGGAATGATTTAGGGCATGGGGAATGTTGGCTTGTGAGAGAGTTCTGTGGTTGGGGTGTGAGCTCTGGATTGGTCGGTTTTTATATGAAAAGAGTGAGCTTGCAGAGAAGTTGTTTGCTATGTCTAGGAATTAGCTAGTCCTGGGAGGGATGGTTTCTCCAGGATTAGATCCCCGAATGCCAGAGCATCAAGAATACAGAAAATAGGGACTTCCCTTGTCCAGTGACTAAGACTCTGAGCTCCCTTGCGGGGGGCCCAGATTTGATCCCTGGTTGGAAAACTAGATCCCACATGCTGTAACTAAGACTTCGCATGCTGCAACTAAAAAAAAAAAAAAAATACAGCAAACAAGGAAATCAATTCAATACCAGTGATGACAGCTAACGTTCATGTGTTCTGGGTGACAGACCCAAGTGTTATTTGAAGGTCTTCAGATACATTAACTCATTGAGTCCTCACAAGTGTTCCTGAAGAAAGGCAGATACCATTACCACTGCTTTACAGATGGGAAGACTGAGGCCAGAGAGGCTGAAACTGCCAGGGGGCAGTCTGGTTTCAGAGCCTGAGCTGAACCACTGAGTAATATTGCCACTCCCTTCCGCCTAAGGTCCCTCTTTCCACTGTCGATGTGGGTAGGCATTTTTTGTCATTTTTATTCTTCATTTTGGTAAATTTTCAAAGAATAGTATAAAAGAGCTCCCATCAACTCTTCACCCAGATTCTCCAGTTCACATTTGTCACATTTACTTTGTGTCCCTCTTTCTCTTCTATATATATTTACATATAAATATCCACATTAATTTGTTTTGAACAATCTGAAGGCTTATTTACCCCTTAAACATTTCAACATATATTTTCTAAGAACAAGGGCATTGTCTTGTCTAATTGTAGCACAAGGATCGAATTCTGGAAACTTAACAAGTGACCCCAAGGACTATACAGTCCATGGAATTCTCCAGGCCAAAATACTGGAGTAGGTAGTCTTTCTCCAGGGATCGTCCCCTGGTCTCCCGCATTGCAAGTGGACTCTTTTCCACCTGAGCCACAAGAGAAGCCCAATAATACTGGAGTGGGTAGCCTATCCCTTCTACAGTGGATCTCTCCGGCCCAGGAATAGAACCAGGGTCTCCTGGAATTGCAGGCAGATTGTTTACCAGCTGAGCTATAGGGGAAGCCCATTGATATAATACTATTACTTAGTTACCATTCATGTTCAAATTTTGCTACTTGTTACAGTGATGGACATTTTTTTTTTCCAATCCAGCACGATTTATTACATCAGCCTCTTTAACCTCCTTTTATCTGAAACAATTCCTCAGGCTGTCTTTGGCTTCAGGACAGTGATGATTTTGAAGGGTAAGGTCTGGTTATTCTGTAGAAAGTTGTTCATTTGGGTTTGTTTCCTCAGGATTGGGTTCAAGTGATGCGTGACCAGCGGAGGCATCTGTGGCGGTGCCTCCCGCCAGGGGGCCCGAGATCTCCTTATTCTACCCCTGGGGTGTCAGCTGGGAGGGCCTGATCAAGGTGGTGTCACCAGGTGCTTTCACTTCCCCTCTGGGTGTGACGATCCTGTTCCCTAGAACTCCATCCCCCGCCATGGTTGTAACATCCTTTGATGATTGTGGCCAGAGTTGATTATTACTGCACTAGCTGCCAGAGAGTCCTGGTGCCAGCCTGCCTTCTGCATCTCCCAGCTGGCATTCTTTTGTAAATATCTATTTGGCTGCCTCAAGTCTTAGTTGTAGCACGTGGGGTCTTCATTGACACATGTGGGATCTTTTGTGGCCTGTGGGCTCAGTAGCTGTGGCTCAATAGCTTCCCCAAGGCATGCAGGATCTTACTTCCCTGACTAGGGATTGAACCCACCTCCCCTGCATTGGAAGGCAGATTCTTAACCACTGGACTGCCAGGGAAGTCTCCCTAACTGGCATTCTTGATGCTCTTATAAAGTAGGTGAATCTCCATGCTAGTGAGGGGTACTGAAATTCAGGTTCTCTTCAAAAGAAAAAGGCAGCCCTTTTGGGAGACAATTTAGCAGCAGGTAACAGCAAATACTGTGAATGGAAATAAATTTATGCCCTTTGACCAACTGATCCCTGTTCTAGGATTTTCATCTGTCTCTATTGTGTCATAAGTAACACCTGGAGTGGTCATGTTTGGAAGACGAGCTTCTTGTAGAGAATAGAGCAGTGTGTCTGAGAGAGGACAGGGGACCTTCCTCCTGGGAACAGTGCAGCTGTGGATCTGGGTCCTGACAGCACCTGGGCTTGCTGGCCACCTGCTTGCCTTGTCCCCCTCTGTACAATGGGGTCACAGGGACCTATTTCAGAGGGGCTGTCGCAGATCTGTGAGTGGCCATGGCCTGGCATGCCGAGGCCTGCAGTGGCCTGGGCGGAGCTCAGCAGGCTGTCTCCCCGTCATTCTGGTCATCCTCGCTGGCAGGTGTCGTGGTCCTGCTAGGAAGCATCCGGGACAAGGATGAGTCACATGGTACCACTTCTTAGCTCCTCCTTCCCCAGACCCCTGCTTGCCCTTCTCTGTGGCCGTGGAGCTGGATGGGGTGGTCTGCCCCCCGAGCACTGCCAACAGTAAGCAGGAGGCCAAGCAGCAGGCAGCTCTGTCTGCCCTCCACTACATCCGGCGTCAGCTGCAGGGCCCAGCCGCAGGGGCAGGTAACCCAGGGCGCGGCGGGGGCGGGAGTGCACATGCATCTAGGGGTGAGTTGCTGCAGAGACTATCTGGGCACCAGGACCCAGCCTGCAGGGAGCTGGGGATGGAGATGTGAGCAGACCCCTGCCCTAATGTCCTTTGAAGCCCACCCACCCTGGGCCCAGGGACTGCTGGGGGCAACTGAGGGACTTTTGTCTTCCGGAGGATGACCTGAGCCCCCCACCTCAACCCTCCACACACACCAATCGCCAGTGGGACCTCTTGGATTCCTGAAGGATGAAGGATTGGAGGGCAGTCCACAGCACCCACGACAGCCCCCGCTTTGTCTCTCTTCCAGAACCCCCAAAGACCCCCAACCAGCCTCCTCTCACTCCTCTGAGCATAGGTAAGTGAGACCCCAGTGACGCCCACCCCCCCAGCACAGGAGGGCATGGCCTGTGAAGCCACCTCCACCCCCTCCCTCCCCTGCAGAGAACATCGTGACCCACGAGCAGCGCTGCGCGGCTGTGGTCAGCGCAGGCTTCGACCGCCTGGTGGATGCCAGCTCGCCATACTGGGCCTGCAAGGGGACCGTGGCCGCGGTCATCCTGGAGCGAGGTAGGGTGGCCCTGCCCCCGCCTCCCCAGGAAGGCCCCTGTGCCCCCTGCCTCAGGCCAGTCTTCTCTGCCCCCTTCCCCGCAGAGGTCCCGGGCGCCAGGGGCCATGCCAAGGAGACCTACCAGCTGGTGGCGTTGGGCACCGGCGGTGGCAGCTGTGCCGGGTGGCTGGACTTCTCGGGCCGGCAGCTCCACGACTGCCATGGGCTGGTGGTGGCCCGCCGGGCCCTGCTGAGGTGAGGGGTGGCGGGGGGCCCTCTGCCCAGCCAGCCCCAGGGAGACGGGACCGCCCTAGCTGCCACTCCACCACCCCCAGGTTCCTGTTCCGGCAGCTCCTGCTGGCCACGCAGGGGGGCCCTATGGGCAAGGAGAAGTCCGTGCTGGCCCCCAAGCCGGGGCCCGGGCCCCCCTTCGCCCTCAAGCCCCGGATCTTCCTGCACCTCTACGTCAGCAACACGCCCAAGGGAGCTGCCTACGACATCTAGTGTGTGGGGTACAGGGTGAGGGGGGCCGCACCAGGGAGCGCCACGTGGGGCTGGGAGAGGGGCCCTGACCCCCTACCCCGGTCCTCCGCAGCCTCCCTCCGTCGTTGGAGGGCGGCCTCCTGCACGGCCCCCCGCTCCGCCTGCAGGCCCACATCCGGGGGGAGCTGAAGCCGGTGTGCTACGTGGCCCCCGCGCTCCGTGACACGCACGTGAGCTGCCTCTCGGCGAGCGACAAGCTGGCGCGCTGGGCCGTCCTGGGGCTGGGGGGGGCCTTGCTGGCCCACTTCCTGCCCCCGCTCTACACCACCAGCCTGGTCCTGGGTGAGCCCCGCAGGGCAGGGGGGCAGGGGCAGGCCGTGGGGCGGGGAGACGGGCAGACAGAAACTCAGACCTTGTGCTGTGCCCCACAGCCGACTCCTGCCACGACCCCCCGACCCTGAGCCGGGCCATCCACACCCGGCCCAGCCTCGACAGGGTCATGGGGCCGTGCCTGCCAGCCCCCTACACCCGGACCACGCTCCACCTCTTTGCAGGGCCCTCGGTGGCCCCCTCCGACCTCCCCCCCAACACCTGCCAGGGCCTGAGCCTCAACTGGAGCCTGGGGGACCCCGACGTCGAGGTGGTGGACGTGGCCACCGGGCGTGTGAAGGCTGAGTGAGAAGGGCCTGGGGGCAGGCTGGAGGGGGGTTTGACAACCGGGGGGGTCCCCTATCCCCTTGCCTGTGGGGAAAAAAGATGCATCTAGCCACCAGCTTCTCACCAGCAACGTGACCCCCCCAAGATCTCAGGGTGGAGGTGGTGTGAGAGGGTGGCGTGGGCCTGGTGGCTCGGGCCTCCTTTGCCCCCCCCCACGGTGGGCCCCTTTCTGTCCTTCCCAGCGCTGCCCCCGGGCCTCCCTCGCGCCTCTGCAAGGCCTCCTTTCTCCGGGCCTTCCGCCAGGCTGCCAGTGCCCTCGGGAAGACCCACCTGCTGACTTTGCAGACCTACGAGGCAGCCAAGGTCAGCGCCTGCCCGCCCCCGCAGCCCTCTTTCCCGCACCCCTGGCAAACACCCCCTCTCACCTGCACCCCTCCTGCTCTAGGCCGGGCCCTATCAGGAGGCTCGCCAGCAGCTGTCCCTCCTCCTGGACCAGCAGGGCCTGGGGGCTTGGCCCTCGAAGCCGCTGGTGGGAAAATTCAAAAACTGAAGCAGAGCTCCAGGGGCCGAGGTTGTGGGCCCAGCGGGACCCGACTGGAGGAGGGCCAGTTGTGGGGTGCGGGGTGAGGGGTGAGGGCGGGTTGGGCACTGGTGCGCAGGGTGAAGCCAGGGATGGAGGGAGGCCCTGACGCGGATGCGGGGTGGGGTCTGCTGCACGCTGGGGGCTTGAATAAAGAAGCTGATTCTGGTGTTCCTGTGTGCTGTTGGCTTTTTGGTGGGGAAGAGGGGAGCCCCAGTCCCTGCCCTCCAGGTCCTCTGGGTTCTGTGAGGGGTGGGCAGCCCTGGGAGCTGGCAGGGGGCTCCTCCCGAGTGGGTCCCACCCTGCCTCTGTGTCACCACAGCTGTCCTACCCGATGAGGCTGTGATACCCAGAGCCCACCTCTCAGGGGTGGGGGTTGTGGGGACGTCCAGGAACGTCCTGTGCAGGAACGTCCAGGCTCCCCAAGGACCTTGGCGGGGGAGGGAGGACAGTGCAGCCTGCCCATGCACACGCCCACCCCCTGACTCCGGCGCCGGGCACACATCTGCAGGCCTGGGCAGGGGCCTGGAGCAAGAGCAGGAGCATAGCAGCTTTGAAGTTGGGCCGGAGGTGGTGGAGGACCATGCCAGCCTCCAGCCCCACACCCTGTGACTGGGGCCTCCCTGCTCCCCCAGCAGTTTCAGGGTTCAGAACTCCAGATCGCTCGCCCCGGTGGGCTGGGAAGCTGGGTTGGCATTCCGGGCCAGGCAGGAGCAGACACTGAAGCCCTGGGATAGCATCTGTTCCCTCCAGGCCACCTCGCAGCCACCTCCCGGCCCCCGTGGGGTGGATGTGTGTGTGTGTGTGACCTTGGTGGCCACTTAACCTCGGTTCACTCTGGTGGACTCATCTGGAGAGACAACCGGAAGGCCAGCCCACATGGCTGTTCTCCAGCCCACCTGGCCTCAGGCTGGGCTTTCCCTCTGTCCATCTGCTGGGCCCTGTCCTCTCCCTTTCAACCAGTGCTGCTGCCAACAAGGAGGCGTGGCTGGGAGGGGGTGGTGGAGGAAAGAGCTGACAGGCTGGAGCAGGCCTTGCCCCCCGCCACCTGCCCCCAGGCTTTACAGATGCTGTCACGTTAAACCTCCCACCTGCGAGGTGGATGCTCTTGCTGCTCCACTTTACTGGTGAGAAAATTCACCAGGTGAAGGTGGGCACCTCCCAGAAGCACACACCGTGTTGGGATGGAGCTGCAGTTCCCACCCAGGCCCCTGACGTCCCCAAGTGCCTGGAAACCCCCAGGCTGCTGCTCGAGTCACTTCTGTGACCTTGGACAGAACCCCCAACTTCTTGTATAGCGTGGCTGGATGATGTGTTTCCAAGAGCTCCCTCCTCGCTCTCAGCAGCTCTCCTCTGCTCTTTCCTAAAGGCCATGGGGGTGAGAGATGCAGCTTTTGCCCCTGAGAGGAAGAGCTGTGGGCTGGAGGGCTTGGGAGGGGTGAGAAAGGGGCTGGGATGGGGCACGAAAGGACGGGGGCTGGGGGAGGCGGGAGCAGCTGCCAAAGGCAGGCTGGTGTTCAGGATCATGCACGTGCAAAGGAAGGCCAGCGGGGAGTTTGAACCAGGATGGAGGGTCTCAAAAGCCAGACAGGTGCTGATTTTGTTTGTTTGTCTTTAATTGAGAAAACAGCGAGATTATTTTTTAATACCAGTATTGTTATTTAAGGGTTTCCCTGGTGGCTCAGATGGTAAAAAATTCTGCCTGCCACTCAGGAGACCCAGGTTCAGTACTTGGGTTGGGAAGATCCCCTGGAAAAGGAAATGACAACCCACTCCAGTGTTCGTGCCTGGAAAATTCCACAGACAGCAGAGCCTGGTGGGCTGTGGTCCATGGGGTTGCAAAGTGTTGGACATGACTGAGCGACTAACACACTTTATTGTTATTTAAACAGAAAAAAAAGAACAAAAACAGTATAACTTTGAAATAATGATTTCTTCTTTTTTTTTTTTCAGGGATGGAGAGGATTTTTAAAACACCCAAGCCTATTAATTAGCACATTTATTACACATTGTTTTCCCCTGGAGATCATTTAAATTGATTTACTTTTTGTCCTGTGATGGTGACTACAACCAGATCCCAGCCATTCCCAAATGCAGTTCTATGCAATGAGCCTTTTGATATTCCTTAATCACATAATCAGTGGGTAAACAAGTTATTCAAAATGACATTAACTCTGCCGTGTTCTGCCAAGTAAGTAATATTTGTCCCCACGTTGCATAAATCTGCCTGTCCAATCCTTCCCTCCCAAGACAGTCCCTGTTACCACATTATTCATTTGGTTCCTTTGACTCAGCTGATTTATTATTGCAGGGTGATGATGAAGATTGCTTCTGAAAGGGAGAGCCTGTTAATGTCTTCTGGTCCAATCGCCCCCAGGCGGAGTTTTGCCAACAACCACATTTTGAGCTGGGAGGTGATATAACCTAGCTGGGCACAACATACAAGCCACCTTTGCCAACTCTCCCATCCCCCCTTGCCTGCAGCTCTGAGCCCCGGGGTCTCTCCTGGACCCCTGCCCCGTGCTTCCCCTCCCTGTGTGTGGTCTTCACCACTGAGCACAAATGTAGACCCAGGAGGCGAATCGAGGGGCCACTCCATCTTTCCAAGCCTCAGATTCCCCACCTGGCGAATGAGAGCTGGTCACCAATCCATGGCACACAGGGTCATGGTGGGATGAACTGAGAAGTGAGCCAAGCCCTGTGCCTGGATCTTGGCCTTTATCGGCAGTGGTGGTGGCTGTTGCCAGGCCTGGCTGTTCTCAGCTTGTTGTCTCTCTCCATGCCCCTGGCTCCCTGCCCCATAGAGTCTCCCACAAAGAACATGCCCATCAAACCAACGTTGAATGGAAAATGAATGACTGATAGAATCCTCTCTTCACAGGAGTGGGTTAGAGCAGGGGTCCCCAACATCCAGGATCTAATGCCTGATGATCTGAGTTGGAGCTGATGTAATAACAATAGAAATAAAGTGCACAATAAATGTAATGTGCTTGAATCATCCCGAAACCATCCCCTGTCCTCCATCTGTGGAAAAACTGTCTTCCATGAAATCGATCCCTGGTGCCAGAAAGGTTGGGGACCACTGGGCTAGACAGAAACCCTGTTCCAAAATATGGCTCCGGAAGATGTTTTGAAAATTTCCATTTTACTATGAGCTCTTTTTTTTTTTTTTTGCTGACCTGTAGAAGCATTCTAAAAGACCTAGAGAGTGACTTCCCTGCTGGTCTAGTGGCTAAGACTCTGAGCTCCCAATGCAGAGGGCCCAGGTTCCGACCCTGATCCAGGAACTAGGTTCCACATGCTGCAAATCAAAGATCCTGCATGCCACAGCGAAGACTTAAGATCCTGCAGGCTGCAACTAAGACCCAGAGCAGCCAAACAAATAAATAAATCGATCAGTATTTAAAAAATAAATAAATAAAAGACCTAGAGAATGTGGATCAAACCACACCTGCACTCCTTGTGAATTGTCAGTCATAAGAACCAATAAAATCTCCTTTTCTTTGTCCATTTGATTGATGAAGTCTGAGTTTCCTGTCCTTGGAAACAAAACATCTCTAACTGATGTTTGTGGATGTGTCCTAAAAATGTACCATGTTTATTCAGATGATCTCCTAAATAAACTGCCTGCCTGTAAATCCTTGCCTCAGGGTCTCCTTCTGGGAACCCAAACATCTGGGAGGACCAAGACAGACCTCCTCAGAGCAGCTGTCCCATATGCTCCTCCCATCACCACTCTGCTCTCTTCACTCCTAGGCTCTGCTGTCCTGTTTATTTGTTTTGGCTGTGCCTCGTCTTTGTTGCTGCCCACCGGCTTCTCTTATTGGGGCACACAAGCTTACTTCCTGTGGCGTGTGGGATCTTAGTTCCTAGACCATGGATAAAACCCACGTCCCCTGCATTGGAAGGCGGATTCTTAACCACTGGACCACCAGGGAAGTGCCCTGTCCTGTTAATTTCCTTCTTAATTTATCTGTGGTCTGCCTCCCTCCCCCGATCGTCCCCTCTAGCCTCATGTCCGGGAGCATCTGTCTTGCTGACAGAACAATGCCTGGCACAAGGCAGGCATTTAAGAAACAGTGCCCTAGAAACCAACCATTGCCCTTCTGACTTCTGACTTGGCCATGATCCGGAGATAGGTGAGCCTGACCCCTGCCACCCATCACCTGGGGCACCCTCCCACCTCCTCCCGCATCCCGAGGTCAGCCCCAGCAGTCTCTGAGGCTAGACCTGCCCCAACACACCAGAGAAGCCACTTGTCATGTCTCGGTATTGTTTAATGTTTCTCTAGGAGCTGCAGGAGTGGGGGAGCCCCAGAAGCTTATAGTTAGGAAGGCGCAGGTGAAATTGCCGAGTTCTCCTGGGGATCTTATTTCAAACCAGTCATTGACTGAGTACAATGGAAGCCTTTGGAACAGCAAGATTGGCTAATTTTAGCTCAGGGTGCCCAAATTCATTCTTTTTCCTTTTGTCCCACATACAGGAAAGGTGACTTAGGAAAGTCACGTGCCTTCTCTGTATGTCACCTGGAGCTGGGATCCGGGGAGGTGGGGCCGCTCCGGAAGGCCTGGGAGCCTCGGGGCCGGTGAGGAGAGCGGCGTCCCTTTGTTTTATTTTTAACTGACACTGTGTTCCGGGAGGTGCCCCTTGGTTAGATGTCAAATGATGGATGAGCCTAGTGCTGGGCGAGGGTCAGGAGGCCCAGAGCTGCAGGCACTGCCTGCCAGTCCTGGCTTTGCCGCCTCTGACCATGTGACTTGTCCCATCCCGTCCCCTCCCTGGGCCTCCGTGTCCACACCCATGAAAGGGGCAGGTTAGACACAGTGACTGTAAGGATCCTTTAGCTCTGAGAATGTGTGCGCTAGGCGGCTCCCAGGCTGGCAGAGTCAGAGGGCGAGGGACGGTCCCCTCCTCCTGGCAGCCGGGGAGAGAGCAGACCTGCTCTGAGCCTTGGGGATGAGGTCACCTGC